GAAATTTTTCAAGAATTTGTAAAGTTAATAGTTGTAGAAACTGAAAGTATTATGAAGTCGTTTTTGAAATCTTACAAAAACCTAAAATTTGACCTTATAAAGTATAAAAACCAAAATTAAACAATACATTTTTTCGGTTAATTTCGGTTTTTATACTTTTTTTAAAGTCAAATTAAAGTTCAATTAAGGTTTTACAGGCGGCCTCGTAATATTTTTGAATTCTGTAATTATTTTTTCAAAGTATACTAAAAAGAATTATAAAATTTTTACTTTCAGTTTGTTAAATCCCATCACTCAAAACCTAGCCGTCTAATTTTACTTAAAAAATTTAGGTACTTATGTTTAAATCAATTTATTTATTTATTTAATCTTTATCTGAAACTAAAGATAAGTTCTATAGACTGCAGTGAAACCAACTATGATATATGGTTCAGTGTGTTGAGCAGTTGATGAGAGAATAGAGCAGAAAATGATTGTAGCAGAGATGAAAATCCTCAGAAGGGATTACAAATACAGGTAGCTAATTGGTTTTTTATGATATTGCTATCACAGTCACGGATTGTTTATTATCAATTATGACTATCANCACTAACTGACAATACAAAAAATATATCTAATGATAGTCATAACTGATAATAAACAATCCGTGACTGTGATAGCAATATCATAAAAAACCAATTAGCTACCTGTATTTGTAATCCCTTGTGTATTATACCTATATATTAACTCAAAATTTTGAAACTTTAAATATTTATATCTAATAAACAAATTTAGTTTTATTAAAAATTCAAATGCCATTTATTATTGAATTAAAAACTCAAACGTTTTATTAAATTAAAAATATGTGTTACCATTTAAAAAAAAAAAGTTGACACGCTTACCAGGCATAAGGGATGAACTTAAAAAGTATTACATAGTTAAAAATTCAAGAATAATGTGTAACTAAAGATAGTAATAAAAAAAAATTTTTTAATTATTATTATTCTATAAGTAATTGAGTGGGTTATGATAAAAAAATCAACCTGTATATTGAGATTTTACAAGTTGTTCTTCAAAACTATTATTAAACGAGATTTTAATGGGTCAAATTATTTTTTTTTAATAATGGAAATAAATATATTTTATTGGAGAAGTAAAAAAAAATATTGTAACAGTTCTAATGGCTACTTTATATTTAAAATTACGAAAAAATAAGACGACAAATTTTGTTGTCTTACTGAATATAAACAAAAGATGATCGAATAAAAACATAATTACAGGCTCCTCCATGAAAATTCATGGAAAAGTCGTCACCATTACATATTGCTTAACAATCAAAAATGTTAGTAAATATTTATCAACATAAACAATAGAGTGCAGTTGTATAACTTCATTCAGAGATGTCAGCTGAATTAGTATAATTGTTTATAGCTGATATTTTGTCAATAGGAATTTTTGTTGTAGGTACCTTGGGAACGATTGTGATATATTGAGGCATAGTTATATCTTTTTGTGAATTTTTGTTTATTATTTTTAATTATTTATCCTCTTCAAAAGAACGCATAACTTATTTGACCAAAATTTTCTGTTTCCCATGGGTTCTGCTGATTTTGAAAATCTCGAAAGTGAACTGTTAGATAATGTAGAAAAAGATGTACGTTATTGGCAACAGAACGATGCAAAGATTAGAGCAGTAAAAAGTGTTTCTACATATCAAGAATTCAGGTGAATAATTTTTATGTTCATCCCTTATGTCTTATAGGTGTATCAATTTAATTTTTTTAAATGGCAACATAAATATCATACTACCTTATAAAATAGAAAATGATATAATTAAGAAAAAGACTGGTCAAAAACAACTTTTAGACCAGTATTTCAGAAGTTATTATCAATTTAAAGTATAGACTAGAGGAAAGGAGTTGGTGCTTCTATTTTTATCACTAGTCATTTCCCAGCCATACTCTTCCTCCTGTCTAGGTATAAAAATTAAAATAACCTTCAAAGTACTGGTCCAAAAGCTGTTATCAACCAGTTATATTCTTAATTAGATCATTATTTATTAAATAAGCTAATCAATTATGAACATGAAGTATAAAAACCGAAATTAACCGAAAAAATGTAATGTTTAATTTTGGTTTTTATACTTTATAAGGTCAAATTTTATGTTTTTGTAAGATTTCAAAAACGACTTCATAATACTTTCAGTTTCTACAACTATTAACTTTACAAATTCTTGAAAAATTTCAATGTCATAAATACTAATTTCTTGTGCATTATACATGTATATAAACTCAAAAATTTGAAACTNATGATAAACTGATCACTCCATTGTTATTTGCTATTATATGTTGCTATTTGAAAAAATAAAGTTGACACACCTATAAGTTATAAAGGATGATTCTATAGTGTAACTATTAGCCGATAAATAGAGATATATATGTAATTATCAAAGTCAAAAAATAATTATAATTTTAAGAAATAGAGTGGCTAATGTAAAACGAATCAACCTATATGTAAGATTTTAATACCAACTTGTTGCAATAGTGATATTGTTAAAGCGGCTCATCTTTGTCCATTATCAAAGAAAGATATAACAAGAAAGGACAGTTCATCGTGGAACAACATTGCTACTCATAATATGCAGGATAACAAACATTATTCATTTGTAAGTCTTCCATAATAAAATCAAAAATTGGATATTGTATTTTTTTTTTATTTATTCTGTAGAGTGCTGAGTTAGATGTCAAGGATAATATTCCTAGCGCTTGTTCTCCAAAAGCTCAAGAGTTTATTATGACTTTTCGACGTCTTACTACTGCCAAGTTGAGGTACAGATATTTAAGTCTAAATGGAGCGGAACATGTAGCTGGTACATTTAATAATGAAGAAATACCACCATCAGTTCTTGTTGAATTACTGGAGACTTTACTTATATTTCCTTCTAACAGTGTTTCTGACATAGTTGCAGTAACTAAACTTTTAGATGTTATGACTGGTACCAAAAGGTAAATGTTATAAATAAGTAGATATACTTATGTGTTATTTTCCATCAACAAACCATGTGCTTGACACCAGATACTTTATGTTATATTATTTAATAAATATAACATTTAATTTCTAATCACATGGATTTATTATTTAATAATAAGTAAAGCATAACAGTAAATATTATGTCAATAGAAATATTTGTAAAGTTTAACAAGGGTGTTATTACAGTATATATGTGAACAAATCTTTATTTTGTGAGGGAATCCTAATAAAAAATGTCATTCTTTACACGCAATAATATCAAGTTCAAACTCATTTATTTAGTAAAATTTTAAATATTTTTAAGGCTCCAAATCCCATAAGTATGATTTTGCATTTCTATTATAGAACTACCTACTATTTTAAATTGCAAAGTCTTTAAACAAATATTATAATGTATTAATTAATACAATTAAATTAGAGTATATATACATATTTATTATTTTTACATATTTTTTTGGTAGACTAACAATATAGCTCTCTAAACTACAAAATAGATCCCTAAAAAAATACTAATATTTAAACAGAAAAAATTGTTTTATTTTTGAAAATTTATTTCAGGTTTGAATTGGCAATAGAATTTTTGAGTTCAACTGAGCTAGATACATTATGCAATTTATTCAATAAATTGGAAGAAAGTCTTAAATTTGGACAGCAAGATTTGGCTGAACAAGGTGTGACAGAATGGAGTTTGAGTACTTTAAGAAAGAAGTATAGAGTATAATATGTTTGTATTAAAACATTACAGTACATAAATTCAATAAATATATATCCTTTAATCTATCATATGCTTTACATATCACTTAAATTTGTATAAAATTACGAATTTTGTGATTACTTGTTCCAGTTCCTAACAAAATTTTGTGTGTTTCCTTTAATTACTTTTTAGATATTTAATAACCTTTAGCATAGCATTGCAATTAAAGTATAAATTACTTAAATGAATAAAAGGTTCAAAGATTTAGTGAAGGGATTAACTAATATTATTTTCTAATTTTTTTTATAAATAATTTCTATAATATTTAAATGAGTAATTTGTTTTATAAATCATGTGACTTTAAAAATATTCTAATTATCAGCATTATTTATTTTCTAAAAAGTGTTTCTAACACTTATTCAGTTCTCTGTGAATTCATAAAATATATGATAATTTATTCACTATAATATACTTATTGTTTTAAGTAAAAATTTGGCCCCTTCACATGTTTCAATTATATCTTGTGGTTTTAGAAATACATAATAAAAATAAATATTAAATCATATTAAGTAATTTTTTTAAACCTATATTTCAAAACTAAATAAAATGCTATATATTAGAATTACCTAATCAAAACTTAACTTAATATTTATAAATTTGAATATAAAAAAATATGTGGTGTAAGATGAAATTTTTTTTTTAATTTTAATGTCTTTTAAGATAAGATATCTTACAAAATGAGGCTTTTACGATTCCTTGAAATAAATTAATAAATTAGGTTAGTACATAATGAATTTATATTATTTAATCATTATTTATTGTTTAACATTATTATACTATACAAACACTTAAGAAATATTCAGTTTGTAACTTTGTTATTGTGTTATTAATTATTATTATTTATTTAAAAAAGACTGATACATGAAATTGATATCCTCTATTCAATCTCATTCATACTTTATTATTGTGTAATTCAGCTTGATATATGTTAACATATGTTTGTACTTGTTTTTAACTATTCAATGATGTTTTCAATTATTACAAAATAAAATATTTCTACATATTAATGTTATTGTTGGATATATTTATTTGTTAATTTTTAGTTTTGTTTGAATTATACTTATGTTAAACAAGATATTGTAAGATCACATATGACATTTATAAACACATGTTTTAATTTCTGAATTACAAAAAAGACTAAAATCAATAATTTTAACAGAGTAGCTTACTCAGTACAACCAAGAAAACATTGCACCTCATCCTGATATAAGCATAGCATTTGGAGATAATACTAAAAATAAATAAAATAACATTTATAAAAATAAATCAATTAACTATTTTTTAGTATTTCCTATATTATTTCTAAAATCATCATTGTATAATTTGAGTACTTTTAGATTATTATACAAAGATAAAAGTTGTGTATTCATAACTTTTTTATTCAAAAAAATGTTTTATAAAAATATTTTTTTTATTGAGCAATCTGATTAAAATGATGGTTTAAGAAAAGAATATCACTTATATTTAATTGATAAAATAATCAATTTTATCTGTAATTTTTCTGAAAGGTCTTTTTGCAGTGAATCAATCATAATAAAATAACACAATTATTAAATCTTCCTTAGTCATTACAGTTTATTTGTTACAAGGTAATTTTAAATAATTAATTTACATAATATAGGATGGGAATATTTAACATTTATAATTTCTTTCTCAGTATATTTAATGAAAACAATAGTTAATCTAAAGGAAGTATTAACAAGTGAATGTCAACAAGACAAAAGTAAAGAGGAGGTATAATATAACTTCTTTGTATACAATATTATGTATAACATTTTTACTATTTTTTTTTTTTTTAATACAAAAAATGTATATAAATATCAATTAAATATATCTCCTCAATAACTATTAAATAGTAGTTAAATTAAACATGTATGTTAGATTTGATTAAATTAATACTTTGTATATAAATTTAATAGCTACTATTAAAAAAATTCAAGTATTGTAAAGAATTTTAGAAATAAAATTATTTTTAACAACTTGTATAAAAGACAATATAAATATATTGAGATCAAAATTTTAAAACTATTATTTACAAGTCAGAAGAAAGCATTAATTTGTATCAGAGTTGTAAGGAGAAACAGTACATGCACTGCCACTAGAAGAACTGTCAGGTTTTTGTGCTGCTCTTTCATCTTCTTCTTCTTTAGCTTTTTCTTCTTGAATGCCTTGAAAACATTAGTTTTTCAAAATTAATTAAAAAAAACTTTAGGTTAAATAGAATAGACCTTTACTTTTTTGAATATCAGGATATTGCAATTTTAATTTTGATTTAATATTAGATATACGTTTAAATGTACCATCTAGATCTTTACGAAGATCATTAAGCATCTGTGTATGCTTTTTCAATTCTGCACTAGTGGTTTTTAAATGACTCATTGATAAAGAGTTGCAATTAGTAAGCATTTCATTAGTTTTTTCAAAACGCTGCAACCTATAGATTGAAATAATGTACATTATACAAATATAATAATGATCAATTTCACATTCTTTTATTTCCTAAACTTAACATGCTGCTGAGGATGGTAGATTTTTTTCACATGTTATGAAATCAATGATGGTTCTTAGCTAGGCCAATATGGATAGGACGGGTATTATAACCGGCTTGCAACAAAGACCAGACACCTCTAATACGAAAATCACAAGAAAAATCTCATTGGTACCCTGGGAATCAAACCAGGATCCTGTGCCACTAAACATACATTTTTACCCCACTAGGCCAGGTCGACCCATTTTTGAAATAATGACAATTAATAAAATAAAATAATATTATACGTATTTATGAAATTAAGAATACTAACATTTCTTTTTGAGCAATTATCATTGATTCTACGTCCTCTTGATTAACAATACCAGCAATTCCTTGAATAAATACTTCAGGAGCAGTGTAGTTCTGAAAACACTCAATACTTGATGTATCGTCTAGATCACCAGTATTTTCAGCCATTATTCTTAGTTTAAACAAAAAAAGTATAGGAAAACTTAAAAAATCAGCGCTTCAGCTCTTTGAAATTGAATTATTTGAATAATTCTAAATTATTACATGAGTTGAATTGATAATTGAATTCGGCATATAAATGTTTGAAATATATTTTTTAGATTTAAGCCAACATTATAACGATAGACTAATGTTTGTTGAAATACCTACTCTGTGATATAACGTATTTTCATTGATAATATTATTTAATTATACTAATCTCATTCTTTAACAACTGATATGTGTTGTAGTAAAATATTTGCTGATAGTGAAAATAAACCATTGGATATAGATAATACTTTATAATAAAACATATATTTTAAATAAGTGGCGCCCTCTAGCGGTGTATTTGAGTTTCATATCTGATAAGGAATTGCTATATAGGAATTGCTAACTTCACAGACATATTTTATTTACATATTTTGTTTACAATAGAAGTTATAATTGATGGAAGGAAAAATAAAATTATGAATTTAATTTAATTTTTTTGAAGCTTTTACATTTTCAGGCATTTTTGACCTTATAAACTACTTACTTGTTGACTTAATTAGATTAAAATAATAATCTAATAATATCAAGGTCTGCAAATAGCATTAAATTCAAATTTTCAAATATTAATTAAAGCTATATCGAGTCGAATAGTATTAAATAATTTTTTACTAACTACTTTATTAACTATACTTTTAAAAAAGTAAGTATTATTCATTATCTTAAGAATGTCAAAATTCAATTTTATTTATTTTTAATCATCTTTTTTTAAACAAAGGTTATATTTATAACTTATTACTATGTCATTGTCTAAAACAACAAATACATATAATCGGCAAAATTGGGAAGATTCTGTAAGTATTCATTATTTTAAGTAATGACTGACACAGTACTGTGTTTACCTCAGCTGCTCATCAATCCCCCAAAAGACATAACTTAATAATACAATTAATAAAGTAAATCTTAAAAATATTGTAATTTTTGTTCTCGTAGTTTAATTTTTTGATTATATTCTATTCTTAACTATTTTTATAGAAGTATCAGTTTATATCAAGAAAAAGCTTAATTATTTGTTAATTATCTTCAATTTTTATTTTAATACATCTGTATACCGTTTAATAACTTTCTTAATATAGAAAATTAACTACAAATGTAATAATAGTATATTTATTCAATTAAGTATTATATGAAAATAAAGGTTTAATAACAACATGATGCATTGTATAAAAGTTATGAATTGTATAAAATATTAAGATTTTAAATAACTTAAACATTTATTTAACTTTGTCAATTTTCTCTATTATTATTTTTTTTTTCGTATCGCAAATATTATTATTTAAAGAATCTATTTAATATTTAGTATTTATAATAGTAGAAGTATAATATTTGTAAAAAATAATCTCAATAATAATAAAAAAAAAAACTATCAATTTGGCTAACTTCAATTTAGTTATTTCTGAACATTTATTCTCGCTCTTTATTCAGATATCTATGTTATTATCAATTTATAAATTGAATTCTATATCAGTTTTTATTTATATTTGGAGGAATAATTAATAGTATAATTATTATACTATTAATAAATATTTTTTATTCTTATAGGATTTTCCAATTGTATGTGAAACTTGTCTAGGAGATAGTCCTTATTTACGAATGGTAAGTCTTATTTTTTAATAAAAAAATTAATTTTCTATTTAATACAATTACAAAATTCTAAAACACTGTCTAATGTTAAAAAATTGAACTTGTAGACTAAAGAAAAATATGGTAAAGAATGTGAAGTGTGTGCTCGACCATTTACTGTATTTCGTTGGTGTCCAGGTGCAAGAATGCGTTTTAAAAAGACTGAAATTTGTCAAACTTGTGCTCGTCTTAGGAATGCTTGCCAAACATGTCTCTTGGATCTTGAATATGGGTTGCCTTTACAAGTAAATATAAATAGTAACTTTTTATTTTACAATAAATTAATTTAATATGTTATTAAATTTTCAGGTGCGCGATGCTGCATTAAAAATTAAAGAACAAATTCCAAAATCTGATGTCAATAAAGAATATTTTGTTCAAAATATGGAAGCTGAAGTAAGATTTCAATGTGAATGTAATAAATTTACAATAAGTAATGTATAAATTTAATTTTAGTTAGCTAAAATGGATGAAGCTGGTGGAAAATGTCAAAATGCCAGTGATGTATTAGCAAAAATGGCTCGCAAAGCACCTTATTATGAAAGAAATAGACCTCACATTTGTTCATTTTGGGTAAAAGGTGAATGCCGTAGAGGTGAAGAATGTCCATATCGGCATGAAAGACCAACTGATCCTGAAGATCCACTCTCAAATCAAAACTTCAAAGATAGGTAAATAATTTTAGATTACTTTATTACTAGGACTAAGAATAATTTGTATAAATAAATTATGTTTGAACTACTTTGGAAGGTTCTAAGTACATGCAACTTTTTTGTTGTATGATTATATGTGTAGAAATATTTTTAATTTTAGAAGGAGATATAACCCCCTAATCACGCTTAAACTATGATCTCGGTAACAACACATTACTAAGTTTTTAAGTGAATTAATAAAAATTTGTACTGGCTGGTGGTATGTGTCAGAATAATTTAACGAAATTTAGAAATTCTTATAATTCTTAGACCTATTCATTACTTAGTTTTATTTATTTAATATTTGTAATTTTATTAGGTACTATGGAGTTAATGATCCTGTTGCCGAAAAAATGATGAATAGAGCTAGTGAAATGCCTAAATTAGAAAAACCAGAAGACCAAACTATTACAACTTTGTACATTGGAAATCTTAATGATATAACTACTGAAAAAGACTTAAGGTACTAAGTTTTAATGAAGTGTTTTACCTCAAATTGCCTATTTCCATGTTATTTCTATTTTCTAGGGATGTATTTTACCAATATGGTGAAATTCGTAACATTACTCATGTGGCTCATCAAAATTGTGCCTTTATCCAATATACAACTCGCGCTGCTGCTGAAATAGCAGCAGAAAGTACTTATGGCCGTTTAACATTAGGTGGTCATAAATTAAATGTACGATGGGGCCATGCTCAAGCCCGTAAAGATAAAGAAGGAAATATTTCAGGTGCAATGAAAGAAACAAAGATGAAGCCTACTCCTGGTTTACCTGCTCCATTACCTCCTCTGCCATCTGAATTGCAAAATAATTTTTTTAATTTAACTCCACAGTCAGTACCCGTTGTTGCAACATCATATATACCAGTTATGCCCCCATTACCTCATCCTAGTTTGCATTATATGTAATCTAATCCACCCTACACACCTGTATTCAGCAAATAATAATTTTATAAGTTAATTATACATACAGTTTTAAGTTAGTTATCTCTTTATAGTAAATTGTTGCAATTATTTTTGAAAATAATATATGATTAATATGACAATTCTAATTCATAATCTTTAATGTACTATTTTTCTTAAAATTTAACATCTGTTTATTCAGTATATTCTACAAATGTTGAATTCTAATTAACAGAATTTCTTTTTTACTAGTTTACAGTTTTCGCTAGAAAAATATTACTCTTCATTAAAATAAAAAATAGCAATATCTAAATGTATGTATTAATTTATATCTATGTATTTTTCAGTTGATAGTTTTTACTTTTAATTAATTTTTTAATTAAAATATAAATATTTTAAATAATCTTTAAAAATGTATTTTGTAATTTTAAATATGTTTACAAATACTACAAAATTATGTCCATCATATCAAAAAACTATAGTATAAAATAGAGTTAGTGANTGTCCATCATATCAAAAAACTATAGTATAAAATAGAGTTAGTGATGCTAATATTTGATTACTAGTAGTATTAAATTGTACTCGTATGACTAAATAAAATATTATTTTTGGTATTGATGTATTACAAATTGTTAATCATACTGAATAGGGCAGTCAAATCTGACTATTTAAAAATATAAACAAAAATAGAAAAAGTAATTATTTTTAATTTTTTGTTAAACAATTACAAAGTAAATAAGTGGAGATAAATATATTTTCAATGTGAAAACATAATTTTTTAAAGATAATGTTAAAAAAATCCTTTGTTATCTATATATTGTGTGAGCTTGATTATGAAGTGTTTCAAATGGTGTATTGTTGATTTTTAAACAAATTTACTCCTTCAAGTTCTTGGTGTTGTTTTTGAAAAAAAAAATTATTGCAAGTATTGAAATGACACAATGACATCCAGTGGTCTGTCTGTTCACTGGACTTGCCAACTCCTGATTTTTTCCTTTGAGGCTATTTAAAACTAAGGTGTTGACTTGAAGGAGTGAATTCGCTTAAGAATCAACGACACATACCATTGGGAACAATTAGCAATGTCATGTGAAGCTTTGCTATTAACATATAGCTAATAAAAAAAGACATTTAACTAACACTATCTTTGAAAAATTAAGTTTTTGAATTTATAACACTATTTTTACTTATTTTCTGTGTACTTATTAAACAAAAAATTACTTTTTTTATTTTTCTGAATATACAAGTTGGACTGCTTCCCTATACTTTAATATTCTGTATTAAATTATTTAACAATTTAGATCAATAAAGTTTAGTTTCATTTAGGAACAAAATGAACTATATGCTCAAATAAAAAGTGAAATTATAGTATTAATTTAGTAATAGTAGAAATTGAGTGACTTAACAATAATATTTAGTTTCTTGAATGATAGAACTGTATACTAAGTTAAACTATAGTTATTAACATTTTTAAAAAGACATTATTTATCAAACTTCAAGTTTAATTATCACACTGAATCACATTTTGACAAATAATATTTTATGCTCTATTTCATTTATTAAATTAATGCAATTTATACATACCTTTTTACAGAAAAATAATATGAAATACAATTAAAAAACAAGTAGAATAATAAAACAACTTGTAAAAAAATTTTCTTAAAATAAATTTTAAAGATTTTCTAGAAATTAACATATAATAAGTGACTGACATAATTGTTAAGTGCTGTGATAAAATTATCAATTAATTTTATGAGATATTTGATTTTTTTTTTAATTTTAGTTAAAATGTGGAATTTGCCCTCAAATTTTTGCATACATTAAATGTATTGACCATTTCTCAAAAATAATTTCGCTAAGAGTTTAACAAAAATTACTCTAAAATTTAATTATTATATTATAATATATTATTTTAAACATATTTTTATGCTACAAAATACACAATTATTATCGTAATAATAGAAGAAGCACAATGGAAATGAAAACTCATTTTTATTTTAAAACTCATAATAATTTAAATTAATAAACAAGTAAAAACTTATTAGACAAATCTACATGTATATTACTCATATCCTTAATAATTACCATTAAAGCTATTTACCTAATTGTCAAAGTAATATTAATAACAAAATAAATTTCAATTAGAAATATATTTTACAAGCATCAATGATATTTAATTATAATAGATTTAGAATAAAATCTTAATTCAATTTCCATAAATATTAGTTATTAATTTAATAGTGTTATACAAACAGCAACTATCCCACATTTAAAATTCTACTACATAATATGTTTTATTTAGTTATATTTGATATTTTTATTGATGAAGCCATTAAGATATTTTGCCATTCTGAAGTATAATATACAATTGAATATTGGTTCAGTTGCAGTATACAAAATGAAAAATAGGACCTTTTCAAGCTTTTTGAAATACAAATAAATTTTTATTTATAGTTGAATAGTTGTTTTTTGCATTTCCCCATTCTATTACAGTTATGATGAACAACTTTAATGAATTACAGTTATACTAGCATTGTAATATTTAAAACAGATAACAGTATAAATAACTTAATTTTAAGTTATACAAAAACTTAAAAAAAAAAACATTTCTACAATTAACTATATTAGAGATTTTAGAAACAACAGTTAAAAATGTGTAGTAATACAACCTTAACCCATAGTGTATACTAACATAACTATTTCTTGAACACAAGATCACCTTTGAACATAAAAATATATTAAACAAAAAATACCACAAATCTGATAAACAGTATAACAGATACAACAGTAAAAAAAATAACAATAATAAAAACTAAAGGTTTATTTAATACACTTTTATGAATACTTAAACAATAAGTACTGATTCAATTTTTCTTAGCTTAACTCGCTTCTTTGAAGCGCTTGGTAATTGAAAAACCCTTGACCAGGTAAGAGAGGCAGAAATTCAGAAGGATACCAAAGTCTATAAGTTAAAAACCATGTAAACATGGCAATAAATCCAGCCAACAATTTCTCAGGCATTCTATGAAAATACATCATAGTAGTTAATAGCATTAGTTCCCATATAGCAACAAAAAGTGCTATTATTAGGAAAAGTAATTTTATGAAAGGTGTCATATTAATATAGGCACTTTTAAGCTCTATTAGTTCATTTTCATTGAGATAATTTAACTTTCCTTTTTTCCCTGATATTCTGGCATTATTTTCAGCAATTATAACATCATGGATTTTATCCCAACCAATTATTGGTCTCGCCTCACTAATCATAACAAGAGTACTGTATATTAATATAAAAACATGACCAGATATATCAAAAGCTTGCCAAATTTTTCCAGCAGATAAACAATTGTTTCTTGAGAGACCTTTTTCTGTACATGAACCATAAAACTGTCCAAAGTAATTAAACCCATTTGTCCAGAACCACCAGAAAAATGTTGCAATAAAGAGTCGAGATGAATGTTTCATAATATTTCCTTTAGAATTTATACAAAAAACACTACTTGACGTAAACAAAAAAAGAGATGTCCATAATATAGTCCAGAACCAACCCAATTTGACAAAATATTGATTAAGAAACGTCCCACTATTCGCAAAATATATTTTAGGTACATTAATATAATCACCCATAATTGAAGACACTAATAGGATAAAGTATATAAAAAGCCTCTTATGAGTTGAGAAAAATAAATATTTTCGACAGCCATATAAAAATACTGTAAGAAATATATCTAGTACAGATGTAGGTTCTCGGACCAGTTGAGTACCTTTACTTTCAGATCTCAAATTTAATCCAGAGGGTAGATAATTTGTTTCTATTGAATTTGAACGCATTCTTCTCGACGCCATAACAAAATTTCATAAGTAGCCAAAGAAACAAATTTTGTTGAACTTCAAAATTAAATATATTTCATTTCACTATGATTTAATTGTTCTACTATACATGAAAAATGTTAATAGTATTTCATAAATATTCATTTAATAATGACGATCCATATCACACATGTAAACTACTAAAAATTACAACGACTTTCACCATAGACTCGTATTACTTCATAGTTAATCAAATTTTAACAAATATTTGATAACAATGATATTAAGAACTACTCATAATTGTATGATTAGACAGTGTATTTTTGCGAGTCAGGCAACACTGATAAATATTATTCTTTTAAATTTTACATCATTAGTTTTACTGTAATATATCAATAATACACTGTCATTCCTAGAAATAAACCCACATTTCTACAAAGTCTTTGTAGGAAATGATTTTTTAAGTCAATTTTTCTCTTTAATTCATATTTAATACATGTTATAGTTGTTATATTTGAATTGATTGGGTTTGATTATTAACTATCTTTTTGTTTTGATAGTGTGTTAGTTTTTTTTATATATTTGTTTAATTTATTAATTATACAGATGATTTCTGTCAGTTTTTTTTAAACATGTTTCTTCTTCTTTTTACTCGCCTTAATCCCAACAACTTGGGGTAGGCCACCTTTATCCTAAACTTCCACTTGATACGATCTCCCACATCAACATGACCAAACCATCTAAGTCTATTTTCTCTCATCATATCTATGATTGACGCTGCACCTATACTCCATCCTATATGTTCATTCCTTTTCCTATCTTCTTTAGTCACTCCACTAAGCATTATAATAACAAAATACATATTTTTAAATAATTAATCAATATTTTATCATTAACAAGCAAATCAACTCGTATAATACGGAAAATAATTTTCAAAACACAAGAAAAAGATAAATAATTTTCATAAATACATCAATCGTAAAAAAATAAATTTCCGATTAATACAAAAAGTATAAAATGTTGTGGAAACAATATGAAAACTTGATAGCAATTTATATCATCATCAATTTTTTAACTTAAGATAATTTAATACAGTTAGTTTTATATGCTGTCATTCTTAAAAATTACCTCGCGCATTTCTGGAATCCAAACGTATATGAAACTGATACCTTCGGTAGTATCTATAGCGATTTTTTCATAATGATCAACTATGAAAGGTTGACCTCCATCACAATTATTTTCGTGAAAATTTGTGTGGTTAAGTGCGCTCATTGGCTGCACTTCTTTTCCACGTGTAGTACTCCTGTCTATAACAGGTTGCTCATCGTCGTCTGAATTTGTGAGATCAATAGTTTCCACATAACTAACGGGAAGTTCGTTCAAAGGGTTCATCAATGTTATATATCTAGGACCTGTATACATATCAGTATGGGTCGTATAAAACCAATCTTCTCCCCATGGAGTTAATATTTTGCATTTGACACAACGACTAGTGTTTGAATAATTTTCATTATTCGAAGTGCTTGGCTCCGAGCAATTATTATTAATATCAACATTCATATTTAGTTGACTATTTTTAGGGTCGATAGGTATATCTTCGTTCAAAACAGATTCTTCATCAACGTCATTTGTAACGAGGATATCAGTATTATTTTTAACAACACTTTTTGAAAAAGTGTTATCCTCCGGATTGAAAACATAGTGTTGTGAGATACTGGTTAAATCAACATTTTCGGAATAACTGGTATTCTCCTCGCCATTATGCGAATTGACATGTTGACAATCAATAGAGTTGTTTATATTTGGTTCTACGTTAGTAGGAAAGTCGCCAGCTAAAAAATTCTCTTCAAATTTTATACCAACATCTGTTTCTCTAGTGACAGTTATTTTTTTCTTGGCTGGCAAAATAAATTATAAATAATTTTAATTATAAATAATTCTACTTATTACAGACATTATAAATACTATTTTATAATTATACGACTATATTATAATTATATAGTCAAGTGTGTATTAAATATAACTGATTGCTAAACACAATTAAAACTTATACATACCAATCATCGAGTTGTGAATACCCCATTTAGCATTAGTTTCACGTTCAGAATCCAATAGACACGGATAATCTTTAAATGACCGATCGCCGTCAACAGTATACGGTAACTCACAACACCTTAAAAATAGTTTATAGTTAGTATGAAATTTGTCGAGAATGTATTAATTTTTTATCATCTCGATTCAGAAGGAAATATTAAAACGTTCATGTTTCTTCGCGTTACCATTTAAAAATGAAATTGTTAGACAATTAATATCTTTAATATACATGGAATCTACTAATTTATTTTATATAATAATAAAGAAATTACATTTTTTTATTAGGTTCATCCAAATATTCATTAAATTTGCGTTTTAAATTGATTTTTTGGGTACGACTTCCAGAGGAAGTCGAACTTTCGTCCGATGAATCTTCGCTACTGGACGACGATGATATACTATTGGACGATGATGAGCTAACACTTGACAAAGAAGAACTACAACTGGACAACGATGAGCTTCCAGTTGAAGACGAACTTTCGTCCGAAGAATCATCGCTACAAGACGATGATGAGCTGTTACTTGATGAGGATGGACTGTAGCTTGACATATTTTATGTGTGTACACACTATTTTTAATAAAATTATTTTTAAGAAATAAATTTGCTTTTAATATTATAGAAAACTTATTAAATTAAATTTAACAAACATTCGCCGAAGTATCAAATGCGAGTGACAACTAAGTATATTTATCGACTAGAAAACAACTTCTCCAAAACAATGTGGTAACTATGTAAAAAAATTGTAACCAATAATAATATAAAATATTTTTTTTACATTTTGTATATATATGATTGGGTTACACTAAGATATAAGATGTTCCACTGAAATTTAAATTTCTTTAATGTATTTAAAAGAAATGTGTTAAAAGTACTTACGAATGCATTAAAAAATAAATAAAAAACGCTTCTTTAAAAAACGCTTTTAAATCAAATATTATAGAAAAAAGTCCTTTAAAGAGAATATTAAATTTTGTTGTATAATTTTAAGATAATTTTGCATATAATTGTGTTCTCTTACACATGTTAAAAAAAGGACTAAAAAAATGCCCATAAAGAAAGTTTCAAATTAAATTTTTTAATGAATTTAAGAGAAATGTGTTAAAAGTACTTACAAATGCATTAAAAAAAAATTCAGCACAGTGGGGTCGCGGCAAAATAGGGACTTGGCATAGTTGGGTCAAGTATAATAATATCTGACAGTGATTAAAATCACTATCAAAAAAAAAAGCTTCCATGCAAATCTTTAGATAGTATTTAATTTTAAAAAATTGGTAGATTATTCCAAAAGCTTCATGATCTGCTAGTTCATTATTAATATCCTAATTAAGATAAAGTATGTCGAATGAAAAAAAGATTATTAAAAAATATTATTTCTCATAAAAAAATAATGTTGATCCATACAACATTATTACAACAAAATTTAATATTCTCTTTAAAGGACTTTTTTCTATAATATTTGATTTAAAAAAAAAGTATATCCAATGAAAGATGTATATAAATACTACTTCTTATGAAAAAATTGTATTGATCCATACATTTTTTAAAAAGTTATAGCACTTTAAAGTAAAAAATGTAAATTATAAAATCGANTAAAAAATGTATTTCACTTTAAAGTAAAAAATGTAAATTATAAAATCGAGAATTTTCACACAAAAATAGCATTTAGGAGCCATTTTTGCCGTGAAGACAAGTCCAGAGGTCAAATTTTTTTTTTTCAAATTAAAGTATATTACATAAGCTTCAATTTAAGATATATATAAAAGTGTCAGACCTTCCGGAACATTTTCAAAAGTTAAGTTGAAAAAGTTAATTTTTTGTGAAAAAGTTTTCATTTTAAATTCCCCCCTGTGGGCAGAAAAAAAGTCAAATTTACAAAAAAAATATACCACATGATAGGTAAGGACATCAAGCATCTATAAAAAAAATTATATTCATATGTTCATTTTTGAAAAAGTTACGACAGTTTTTAGTAAAAAAAATTTAAAAAATTTCGAAAATTAGCGATTTTTAAATTTGTAATTTTTTTGGAGGTTTCCCTTATTTACGTGGAACGAGGGAATTTTTTTCAATTTTGAAGGGTAATGTCTTCGACTAGATANTTCAATTTTTAAGGGTAATGTCTTCGACTAGATACGATTTGTGATCTTTTGACGTATCGTTGAAAGAAATCGGTTCGGTGAGAGCTGAGAAAAAGTGGTAACAGACACAAAAAAAAAAAACAAAACACATCTTAGTAAAACCAATATCTTCTCAGCTTCGCATCGAAGCTAAAATAAGATTTTTGTAAAAAAATTCTTTTTTATATTTTTAACTTTATAACACTATAACTTTTTGAAAAATGTATGGATCAATACAATATTTTCATGAGAAATAATATTTATATACCTTTTTCATTCGACATAATTTATCTTAATCTTAATTACTTTATCTTAATCACAAGGAAATAGCAGATTATGTAGCTTTAGAAATAATACACCAATTTTTTAAAAATTAAACACTATCTAAAGAAGCGTTTTTTATTTATTTTTTAATGCATTCGTAAGTACTTTTAACACATTTCTTTTAAATACATTAAAGAAATTTAAATTTCAGTGGAACATCTTATATCTTAGTGTAACCCAATCATATATATACAAAATGTAAAAAAAATATTTTATATTATTATTGGTTACAATTTTTTTACATAGTTACCACATTGTTTTGGAGAAGTTGTTTTCTAGTCGATAAATATACTTAGTTGTCACTCGCATTTGATACTTCGGCGAATGTTTGTTAAATTTAATTTAATAAGTTTTCTATAATATTAAAAGCAAATTTATTTCTTAAAAATAATTTTATTAAAAATAGTGTGTACACACATAAAATATGTCAAGCTACAGTCCATCCTCATCAAGTAACAGCTCATCATCGTCTTGTAGCGATGATTCTTCGGACGAAAGTTCGTCTTCAACTGGAAGCTCATCGTTGTCCAGTTGTAGTTCTTCTTTGTCAAGTGTTAGCTCATCATCGTCCAATAGTATATCATCGTCGTCCAGTAGCGAAGATTCATCGGACGAAAGTTCGACTTCCTCTGGAAGTCGTACCCAAAAAATCAATTTAAAACGCAAATTTAATGAATATTTGGATGAACCTAATAAAAAAATGTAATTTCTTTATTATTATATAAAATAAATTAGTAGATTCCATGTATATTAAAGATATTAATTGTCTAACAATTTCATTTTTAAATGGTAACGCGAAGAAACATGAACGTTTTAATATTTCCTTCTGAATCGAGATGATAAAAAATTAATACATTCTCGACAAATTTCATACTAACTATAAACTATTTTTAAGGTGTTGTGAGTTACCGTATACTGTTGACGGCGATCGGTCATTTAAAGATTATCCGTGTCTATTGGATTCTGAACGTGAAACTAATGCTAAATGGGGTATTCACAACTCGATGATTGGTATGTATAAGTTTTAATTGTGTTTAGCAATCAGTTATATTTAATACACACTTGACTATATAATTATAATATAGTCGTATAATTATAAAATAGTATTTATAATGTCTGTAATAAGTAGAATTATTTATAATTAAAATTATTTATAATTTATTTTGCCAGCCAAGAAAAAAATAACTGTCACTAGAGAAACAGATGTTGGTATAAAATTTGAAGAGAATTTTTTAGCTGGCGACTTTCCTACTAACGTAGAACCAAATATAAACAACTCTATTGATTGTCAACATGTCAATTCGCATAATGGCGAGGAGAATACCAGTTATTCCGAAAATGTTGATTTAACCAGTATCTCACAACACTATGTTTTCAATCCGGAGGATAACACTTTTTCAAAAAGTGTTGTTAAAAATAATACTGATATCCTCGTTACAAATGACGTTGATGAAGAATCTGTTTTGAACGAAGATATACCTATCGACCCTAAAAATAGTCAACTAAATATGAATGTTGATATTAATAATAATTGCTCGGAGCCAAGCACTTCGAATAATGAAAATTATTCAAACACTAGTCGTTGTGTCAAATGCAAAATATTAACTCCATGGGGAGAAGATTGGTTTTATACGACCCATACTGATATGTATACAGGTCCTAGATATATAACATTGATGAACCCTTTGAACGAACTTCCCGTTAGTTATGTGGAAACTATTGATCTCACAAATTCAGACGACGATGAGCAACCTGTTATAGACAGGAGTACTACACGTGGAAAAGAAGTGCAGCCAATGAGCGCACTTAACCACACAAATTTTCACGAAAATAATTGTGATGGAGGTCAACCTTTCATAGTTGATCATTATGAAAAAATCGCTATAGATACTACCGAAGGTATCAGTTTCATATACGTTTGGATTCCAGAAATGCGCGAGGTAATTTTTAAGAATGACAGCATATAAAACTAACTGTATTAAATTATCTTAAGTTAAAAAATTGATGATGATATAAATTGCTATCAAGTTTTCATATTGTTTCCACAACATTTTATACTTTTTGTATTAATCGGAAATTTATTTTTTTACGATTGATGTATTTATGAAAATTATTTATCTTTTTCTTGTGTTTTGAAAATTATTTTCCGTATTATACGAGTTGATTTGCTTGTTAATGATAAAATATTGATTAATTATTTAAAAATATGTATTTTGTTATTATAATGCTTAGTGGAGTGACTAAAGAAGATAGGAAAAGGAATGAACATATAGGATGGAGTATAGGTGCAGCGTCAATCATAGATATGATGAGAGAAAATAGACTTAGATGGTTTGGTCATGTTGATGTGGGAGATCGTATCAAGTGGAAGTTTAGGATAAAGGTGGCCTACCCCAAGTTGTTGGGATTAAGGCGAGTAAAAAGAAGAAGAAACATGTTTAAAAAAAACTGACAGAAATCATCTGTATAATTAATAAATTAAACAAATATATAAAAAAAACTAACACACTATCAAAACAAAAAGATAGTTAATAATCAAACCCAATCAATTCAAATATAACAACTATAACATGTATTAAATATGAATTAAAGAGAAAAATTGACTTAAAAAATCATTTCCTACAAAGACTTTGTAGAAATGTGGGTTTATTTCTAGGAATGACAGTGTATTATTGATATATTACAGTAAAACTAATGATGTAAAATTTAAAAGAATAATATTTATCAGTGTTGCCTGACTCGCAAAAATACACTGTCTAATCATACAATTATGAGTAGTTCTTAATATCATTGTTATCAAATATTTGTTAAAATTTGATTAACTATGAAGTAATACGAGTCTATGGTGAAAGTCGTTGTAATTTTTAGTAGTTTACATGTGTGATATGGATCGTCATTATTAAATGAATATTTATGAAATACTATTAACATTTTTCATGTATAGTAGAACAATTAAATCATAGTGAAATGAAATATATTTAATTTTGAAGTTCAACAAAATTTGTTTCTTTGGCTACTTATGAAATTTTGTTATGGCGTCGAGAAGAATGCGTTCAAATTCAATAGAAACAAATTATCTACCCTCTGGATTAAATTTGAGATCTGAAAGTAAAGGTACTCAACTGGTCCGAGAACCTACATCTGTACTAGATATATTTCTTACAGTATTTTTATATGGCTGTCGAAAATATTTATTTTTCTCAACTCATAAGAGGCTTTTTATATACTTTATCCTATTAGTGTCTTCAATTATGGGTGATTATATTAATGTACCTAAAATATATTTTGCGAATAGTGGGACGTTTCTTAATCAATATTTTGTCAAATTGGGTTGGTTCTGGACTATATTATGGACATCTCTTTTTTTGTTTACGTCAAGTAGTGTTTTTTGTATAAATTCTAAAGGAAATATTATGAAACATTCATCTCGACTCTTTATTGCAACATTTTTCTGGTGGTTCTGGACAAATGGGTTTAATTACTTTGGACAGTTTTATGGTTCATGTACAGAAAAAGGTCTCTCAAGAAACAATTGTTTATCTGCTGGAAAAATTTGGCAAGCTTTTGATATATCTGGTCATGTTTTTATATTAATATACAGTACTCTTGTTATGATTAGTGAGGCGAGACCAATAATTGGTTGGGATAAAATCCATGATGTTATAATTGCTGAAAATAATGCCAGAATATCAGGGAAAAAAGGAAAGTTAAATTATCTCAATGAAAATGAACTAATAGAGCTTAAAAGTGCCTATATTAATATGACACCTTTCATAAAATTACTTTTCCTAATAATAGCACTTTTTGTTGCTATATGGGAACTAATGCTATTAACTACTATGATGTATTTTCATAGAATGCCTGAGAAATTGTTGGCTGGATTTATTGCCATGTTTACATGGTTTTTAACTTATAGACTTTGGTATCCTTCTGAATTTCTGCCTCTCTTACCTGGTCAAGGGTTTTTCAATTACCAAGCGCTTCAAAGAAGCGAGTTAAGCTAAGAAAAATTGAATCAGAAAAAAAAGGAATGAACATATAGGATGGAGTATAGGTGCAGCGTCAATCATAGATATGATGAGAGAAAATAGACTTAGATGGTTTGGTCATGTTGATGTGGGAGATCGTATCAAGTGGAAGTTTAGGATAAAGGTGGCCTACCCCAAGTTGTTGGGATTAAGGCGAGTAAAAAGAAGAAGAAACATGTTTAAAAAAAACTGACAGAAATCATCTGTATAATTAATAAATTAAACAAATATATAAAAAAAACTAACACACTATCAAAACAAAAAGATAGTTAATAATCAAACCCAATCAATTCAAATATAACAACTATAACATGTATTAAATATGAATTAAAGAGAAAAATTGACTTNTAAAAAGATTGTTTTAGGTCGAAGACATTACCTTTAGTAATAGAAATAAGTTCTCCGTTTCCCGTAAATGGAGGAAATACCCCAAAAAAATACATTTTAATAATTGGTAATTTTCGACATTTTTAAAACTTTTTTTCTTGACGTAAGTCCGAATTTTCTTTTCCGATTTTCAACAGTTAATCGCTGTTGTCTTCGCATATTAAATTAATAATAAGTTATAAGCTCAGATATGTAATTAGATGTGATGTAAAATACCAATTGTCCCACACGAAAATTTTTTGAGACATTATTATTTTACATTTGATCTTTTGTTAATGAGTTGAGTGATTCATAAATGCCCAGAGATGAAAAAACAGACTTGTACAACCACTTCCCACACTAGTATAAAACTATTTAAACATAAATATTTCTATAAAAAATCCATTTATATTATTTTAAAAGTGAGAGAGAAAGAATAATAATTTTTTTTCAATTATGAGAATACATTAATAAGAAAAAAATAATATTATATGATTTGTAATTTTAAATGCTCGAGTCATAACATAGCCTTGTATACAGTAATGGATTGAAAGATGCGTTCAGAAAGTCTAGAATCCCAGACACCCATTACATATTTCCAATATTGTATTTATATTGCTCGTAATCGAGTGGTTTATGATAAACCGATCACTCTGTATTATAAATAAAATTAAACTCCGATATTTGTTAATACATTTTAAATAAATATTATTTTCAGAACCTCCCTAAAAAGAAAGTGTTACAAAACTGTAATTGATCCAACACATTAATACATTATCTATTAAGAAGTATATTTTTCAAGAATCGTCTATAATTGCGCATTTAAGACACTGCTATAGCGTAGCCAAGGGGAGCTAAAGGGACTGAAGCTCCTCCATTGGTCAATTATTACTATTATCAGTATAACACTTTTGTGCAAGTAAGACTATGTGATTAGTCAAAAAATAAAAAATGGTCCTTGTCCTCCAACCAAGTAAAAATCCTGGCTACATCATTGATACGCTATCTAACACTCAAGAAGAAATTATAATTATTATAAAACAAGTATTTGTGAAAATTTTTTTTATTTAAGAATATAAAAAACTATATTTACAGTGATTAGTCAAAATTGCATATAACTAATTTATATTAAATGACTTAGTAGACATTATAAAAATATAAACAAAAACCTCTCACTGTATTCAGTTCAATTTGATACAAGGTTATTGAGAAAAAAACTTATTTAATTCTCTGTATAAAATATTTTAAATATGTACACAAAAAAATAATTTATTTAAAATGTTATTAAAAAAAAAACTTAACTATAAGGTCAGGTTGATCACTCGTCAATTTTTTATATTAGAGGACTCAATGCGATAAATAAAAAAAATATAGAAAATACATTTAATAATAATAGCTATTGAAAAAATGTATACATAACAGGTATATAAAAAAATAATTATTGTTATTTTTATGTTTTGACTCTTAATCGAAGGGTGAAATAAGTAATTACTCTAAAAACAAGAAGAATGATGACGAGCTTGATAATTTCAAATAAAGGATCATCTCTACTTAAATTTAAATAATATAAAAGAGTTTTTGGGTTTCTAAAGTGACAATACTCGGATTCACAGTTTAGAGGTTTACGACCCATGCCGAAAACTGTAAGCACTAGGCCAATCACACCACACCTCAAAAAACTGGCCTGCATGATTTGGTCCATTATCCACGGTACCTGACGTGCAAAGTCAAATCCATAAATTGCCAACCCTAAGAACGGAGCAATGATCATTGGCCCAACTGCACTGCCATTCTGAAATACCAATTATAAATTTGATTAATATAATAATCCCTCTTATGAGTCATAATGTAAAATTTGAATTTTTAACATAACTTTATTCGTTTATTAGACATAAGACTTTAAAGTTTCGAATTTTCAAGTTAATATATGTATGTAATACAGCAGGGATAACAAATACAGGTAGCTAATTGCTTTTTTACGTCGCTATTCGCAGAAACGCAGCGTTTATTGTCAATTATGACCTAATCGACAGATATTATTTCTCTATTACCAATCGATGTATTTATAAATGTTAACTCACTAAAATGTGCCCTACTACCATACTTTAAGTATATCTGTTGATAAAGTCATAATTGATAATAAACGATGCGTATCTGTGAACAGCGACGTTGTAAAAAAGCAATTAGCTACCTATATTTATTATCCCTCATGTATTACACACATATATTAACTTGAAAATTTGAAACTTTAAAGTTTTATATCTAATACACGAATAAAGTTATGTTAAAAATTCAATTTCCACTTACTATTAAAATTAAAACTCATACATTTTATTAAAATTAAAATATGTGTCCCTATTTGAAAAAAACATAGTTGACACCAATAAAAGGTTTGGTGTATAATAATAATAATAATAATAATTCAAGAATGATGTGTAACTAATGGTAACCAAAAAAACAATATTTCCAAATTATTTTTATTTTGTTAGTAATTGAGTGGGGCTTAACATAAAAAAATCATCCTATATAATATACTATATATACTGTTAATTACCGTAACGTTGAATATAGATGCGACCAAATATCCCATTCCTTCGGATACAAAACCGACGAGTAAACTGATTACGCTGAACACTAAAAATCTTTTGCCTTCTAAAGGCAGTCCTGACATAAAATATACACACGTAGTGTATATTTGACTGAAGAGTATCTATAAAACAAATGTTTCATTCCATGTTTATTATATGTGTTATGGAATGTATTTTTGTAAAAGTTCATCAAAAGTCATTCTTCAATACTCACAATAGACGGTACTTTTGAAAGCTGAAGTGCTAGATAATATGGTCTCAAACCATACCATCTATTAAAGTATTCTTGTTTTAATAACTTCACTTCAGACGGAACTGAAAATAATAATATTTTTTATGTAACTAATATCTATTATTCATTCACTGTTAGTAAATTGAAACATACAGGCGAGTACTTGCACCATTGATTGAGTAAAGGCATGGAAGAGTACGTTTCCCATACAAAACTTCATGTGATTGAAAAATTGAGTACCATCGTTGGCCATACCAAAAAACACTATGCCCACTGCTAATCCGCAAACGAGATGATGGTAAAATTGAATGTTTAAGCCAACCTAAGTTATGATAAAAAAATAGACTTTAATTTATTTTAACAACTTTTTGATGGCACATGCATGTATATCCACATAAATATAATATGTAGTTATCATTTTTAAATAAAAAGAAAAGACTGAAGGGAATATAAAAGAGACTATAGTAGTATTTAAAAGTCATTACAATAGTCTAAATTTTATTCCATACACAAGTTTTATTGTTTCAAAACTTAGACGGTGCGAGGATATTATGATTTTTTTTTTTTTTGTAATGTTAATTTACGTATTTGCAAACCGTTACAGCTTATGAGAATCACATAACTAATACGTTTAAATAAAAATATATCCAGCTGTTAAAAAAGATGAATATAAGTTTTGATTGTCAAGGAGCATAATTTTAAATTTACCCTTTAATTGTTATATAAATTTTTCTGCTTTAAGTTAGATGAATATCTTATGAAACAAATGCACCCTCGATAAAATCAGGAAATCCTTGCCTCAACCTTAACAACCCAAAGTGGCAAGAGATACCAACTAAGCTACAACTGTACAAAAAAATATTCCCTTTAGAAATTTAGCCATCCTAAAAAGAAAGTCATAACTACTGCATGATAATGTATTATATTAATCGTTGCTAAATGTCAATATGGTCATACTACCCCTTAAAGGTATAAAGAGTTCATTTTTTTCATTTGATATTTATTATAGTTCAAGTACAGCTTGTAGTAGTGGTTAAAAAACATTTGTGATTTAAAAAATTAGCAATAAATAAAAAGTTATTACACATAAGAGATAACTAGAAGGACATTATAGAATTATAATAAGGTAGTATACTCTAAATCAATTAAAGTCAAGGAGTCGATAAAAAGATGGCAAACAAGATGACGATTATTATATTATTACTCATACATTCGTGATTAAATGTATCGTGTATAAATGTCGTACCTTGTTTCTATAAAGTTGCAAAACCATTCGCTTCCACAGGGTCAAAAACTGCGACCAACTCGATGTCGGGAAGTCTATACACCACGTTCTAGAATTTTTTTCTTCTTCAGATATATCCTTGTAATTGATGGATGGCAGTGGAAGTAATTTCGTAGAACTGATATTACCATTGAGCTCCGAAAAATTACCTAGATAAATTCGATCGTTAAAAAAAAAATCATTCCTTTTGAATTTCACTATAATAATGCGTTAACTGTTATACACTACCACTAATTAGATTATAACAGCCATTTTTTTCTTTTTTCATTTTATACAAGCAAATTTTGCCGTTATTTGTGGCCGCTGATAGCTTTGATATGTTTTGCGGTTCTTCGCCGTCTGTCAGTTCAATAATAAAATCGGCTGGATTGTATGTTAGCGGACAGTGTAGTCCTACAGTGGACAGGAACGGTACCAATTGATCTGTAGAGCCCTGGTACACACAGTACCCTTGGGACAGGACGTAAACATGATCGAACAGCTGAAACAGGCTGGCACTTGGCTGATGTATCGTACACACAATTGTACGGCCTTGATGTGCCAAACCATGCAACAATTGTATAGTATATGTAGTGGAGACATTATCCAACCCACTGTTAAAATAAAAGGTCATCTATTAAGTGAACATTTATTAAAATCGTATTTATTTATAGAACAATGGAAAAAATCAATGAATTATAATTTAAACATTATTTCTCACTCGTAGTTTTAATGTTGTTATTTTTTTTTTCCTATAATCTGATGATAATCTGATGATAATTTTAATATAATTATTATGAAACAAAAATAAATGATTACAATAAAAAATATTGAGGCGGATTCAGAGGAAAAAACATTTAAGACTTAGAAAACCAAAGAAAATAAATACATTAAAAATAATTTAATGTATTCAATTACATAGACAAATAATACATATTATTCATAATCATGATTAAAATTCACAAAAACCCGCGCAAATTAACTTATATCGAGATTTACTAATATTTGTAGTAATTTTAGAATAAAATTAAAATAAAAGATTACTTTAATAATAATATTGCATCAATATATTTATAAATATACCAAGAAGTACTTGAGCGTACCCAGCACTTCCTTAAGAGATACAAAATTAACAAGAAAATTTAACAAAATTACTTGAAACAATAAACATTTTATAATGTTAGAGTTTTAAAGGACTTAAATATTACTAAAAATTAGAAAGTACATTCGAAATCGAGAAACTTTGCAAATCTCATAAACCTGAAACCCGTGTTCTTTTTTCAATATTTAAAAGTATAATTATGACTAACTAAGGTATAAAAACATCAATACGTGTTGAATATAAAAATATAAACTAATACATTACCTGGTAGGTTCATCTAGAAAAATAATAGGAGGATTATTAATGAGTTCAAGAGCGATTGAAAGTCGCTTTTTTTGACCGCCCGACAAGCATTCTGTTCTAGTGTTCTTCGCTTCTGAAAGACCAAGTACACTTTGAATTTCGGAAACCTATAAAATAAATTACAATGTTTTTGAATGTTTAACAATAATATAATCAGAAAACATATAAACTAACAAACCAACATCATACATCTTTTCAAATACATGACATATTTAATTACTAGGCAACACTAAATAAGTGACAACTTGAAAATCCATTTTCTTTTTACTATTAAAAAAACCGATTCCCAACTTGTAAATAATTTCTGAAGCAATAATTTCATTAAATATTCCTCAAGCTACTTATTCACTTACTATCATTTGTTTTTCTTTAGTTAAAGTACTGTTTGAGAGTTTAAGTTCTGCCGCGAACATCATAATTTCATTCAGTGTCAACATAGGTTGAATTTTGTCCTCTTGCATAATATAGCAAGACATTTTACGAAATAATTTTTCATTCCTTACTTGAGAGTTAACTTTTAAAGATCCGTGTACACCTTTATGACTGAAAAATAATGCATAATAAACAACTGCAATTAAGATAAATCAAGGATATTTATTACTTAGTTTCAATAAATTATTTCCTATAAATAATAACAAAATAAGAAATAAAATAACTATCCATTGCAAGATTCGATGATGGCAGCTCTATTTTTCTAAATAATATCTAAACTATTAAATACAACCGAAATTTGAACCAGTGGCTGAATTTTCTTCTTCTTCTTTTTCCTTGCCATTATCCCAACTACTTAGGATCGGCCACCATTATCTTAAACTTTTTATATGTTCGTTCCTTATCCTATCTTCTGTAATCACTCCACTCATCCATCTAGGTATTCTCATCTCTGTTACACTTATTCTCTACTCTATTCTCTTGTCAACCGATCAACACTCTGAACCACACATCATAGCTGGACTCACTACAGTCTTATAGAACTTACCTTTAAGCCTCATTGGAATTTTCTTATCACATGAAACACCAGACGCTTCTCTTCACATCACCAACCCGTGAAAAACAGTATCTGAATAATGGTATTATCTCATCTAATAAGTTTCAAAATCTTCTTCCAATAAATATTATTTTATAGTCTAAATAAAATATCTCTAGGGATAATTTCTAAGAAAAATCCTTATTTTATAAAAATTGTAACAATCAATAGACATTTATAAAATCAATAAATTATAATAGATTTGTGTAAATTTTAAAAAGTATTGATTATTTTAAGAGTCAAACCAAAAATCAAATCAATAAATACCGATATTTATTGATTTGATAATCTTAGTTAATCAACGCCCGATATTACAGACATTTACTTAATGCCTGTAATTATTAAAATAAGTATTTTTACCCCAGAAGTATAATTTTATAAGCAGGTGGACTTGTATGATAAGCCTGAGACATTCAAAAATTATATTGAGTAGACCGGGTCTAGTTTTCACACGGGTTGGCTATCACAATGTTAAATATTCCAAAACTTAATGTAATCGATCATCTTAAGTATGCCAGAGTCTTATATTAGATTAAAATTTTAATCTGATACACCTAGAGTTAAATTGCATATTAATAAAAAGTACACAATTTTGGATTTTACCACAAAAAAAAAAAATGTTAATAACTTTTCAAAAAATAAATAGTGAAAAACAGACATTTAACAAAACGCTATTTTTTTTTTTTTTCAACAAGTGATTTTGTTATACTTTGGCAATTCAGAATAAAAAAGAACAAATTTTATATTTTAACATTAGTTATTTGACTCGATAAATATAATTAAAAATACCTATTTGATTTAGTGAATCAGTAGTATTTGAAGTGATATAAAAGAAGAGCTTTCTTGGCGATAAAAACCTTTGAGTACGGGTATAGTTTGCTCTATAAAATAGGATTTAATATTATCTTCGACAGGTAGTTCACTATTTTTCTACAGTAGTTTTGTAACGTCATATTAAGATATTAATTACTTGTAACCGGATAATGTGTTTAATAGACTGCTCTTTCCGGCTCCTGATGGCCCCATGATTGCTGCCAATTCGCCAGCTGCAAACCGCCCGCTGACAGATTTCAGTATAGTTTTTGTTGGCTCTAAAATAAGATAATAAAATATAAGTGGATAAAGTTACTTTACAAAATGTTAATATTATCTATGATTTTCGATAAATTTCAAAATCAAATTGTGTAGAATAAGTAAATCATCAGTAAGCAATTATCGGCCTGATGCATGTTTGGTACCGGCATTTAATTCCAGCTGATTTAAGGGCTTATAGTATAATTTATATATGTAATGAGGTTTTTATTAAAAGATGGTGATTTTAATAAAAACAGGGTACCCAGCCTCCTTTTTAAATCTCAAACTTTACCTGGCTCTCGGCTTGGAAGTATTTTAGTAGCCGGCTTTTACTCGGTTTTTACATACATTTATTACCCGGAACATCTCTATAATCTGTACTATAGATTATAAAGGGTCACATGGAATGATATATTTAATCTATCATATCTCTATGACCACTCAATCTTTTTTAACTTGACAGTTGTTAACTCGGTAATTGTCCATAATTATTTAAATTTACACTTGGAGATAAAATAATTTCTAGTGGCACCCAATAACTCAAAATTATCTCCAGCTAAATAGACTAAGGTTGCTGATGACATGTTTAAAAACTAAAATAAATAGTTTAAAACTTTCCGTAAGACCAATGTAAATTATGATATTCTTGGTAATGTAACATAACAACGCTGGATATCGACTATTCGAATATAATTTACCCCAATATGAAAAATTATTAAAAAAAATCGTTTTTTTGTATAACTAATCTGACGTAAAAGGTAAAACAATCAAACTAAAAATTGTGGATTTTGTCCCACTTCAAACCCTACACGTAGTATGTGTAATCGCAGTTAATATAAAAATATTAAAAAACAATACACATGTTTCATATGGTTTTTTACGGACACCTCCATAAATTTGCAAATCGCATAATTTACTATGCAGTGTGACACACGTGATAAATTCATACATTGTTCGGCGTATAGAAATTTCGATGTATATATTGTTTTCATTATCAGTCTGTAGTCACGTCTGAGTAATAAAGTAAACATGAATATGTATTATGTTTTAGTTGCTAGTCGTAGTTGAAGAAAGTATAGTCTTATTTGTACAATAACAATCGTATTCAATGGATCAAAATCGTTACTAGCCACAGTAAATTAATTATTTTACAAAATAGCTAACTATTTTTTCCAAATGAACATAATGAACTTGAACAGATAATCTGTAATAAATAAATACCATATCCTTGATAGTAAATAAATTAAATATAATATCCAATAATGAACTTTCGATTTATAAATAACAAGCAAAATGTGATGTTTCATAAAAAATATAATTAAACTATCAAATTGTTCTGTAACTATTGAAGCTTTAAAAAAAAGTAACCTTAACATTGCTTAATATTTTACTTACATAATAGCTCATTATAATATAAAAAAGAAAACAAATGGACAACATCTATATATTTTTAATACATTCACTTTTATTGCTAAAATGATAGCGAAAATATTTGAGTTATCTATTTATAACTGTTTAATAAGTAGACATTTAATACTTACAAGCGGATACGTAAATTAATTTAAAAAAACCCATATTTATATTTACAAAATTTTATCATTTAATTTACAACTATATTTTAATTTGTGCACAAAATATATTTGTAAGATTCAAAAAATACTCAATTGTTAGTTAGTAAATAATTAATTACCCTTTTAAACCCTTCTCCCAAATTTTTTTTTCTATATTATCAGTAGTTCTGATCGTGTACAGTAACTAGTAAGTCTGGATTTTATTATTATCTATTATTAATCGTTATAAAAATATCGTATCACTGTTCAAATAAAATATAAAAAACTCTCACTTTTATAACTATCTTAGATTATAACATCAAAACGCGAATTTTGTTACTATAGTGCTGATTGCCTCGTATTTTCTATAGTTTTAAAAAACATGTAAACGTTTCTTATGAAACATATACTAGACATAATTTATAAATAAAAAAAATCTCACGGAGATACTATTTTTTCAATATCAACTTGAACAAAAAGTTAATTTTGTATCTAACGCATTTCTAAAATTGTCAAGAATTAAAATGCTTTATTGTTTTATAAACGGCTATTTTAGGATACTCATTTTTTTAAATAATGTTTGTATAAACAATTATTTGACAAACAAACGAGAAAAATTCAAAATCAAAATTTTACTTGATATTCTTTATCCTAAGCGAATCCTTTTGTTTTTGAATACCAAATATTTTATAACCTCAAAGTTTTTTTTAATATTGCTACTAGCATATTTCAAACTAATGTTAAAATTACCATCGAAAACTGTGATTAAAAAATAGTTTTATAAATGTAAAATAAACCAAATTACATTGTGGTAAAATAGTCAATTAACTAAATGATCAACAGCTTAATAGATATTTTAAATTCTCATAAAAATGATGATGAAAATATTATAATTACAAAAAACGTTAACAACAAATATGCTTTTAAGAAAAGTAATTAGAAGCGAAAACAGATTTATTCAGTGAACAATAAACACAAATTCATTAAATATTAAGTATTTATTTTCGGAAAATGTTCAAATGAAATAATTTTATATATTTTTTTAATTATGTATTTTTATTTGTATAATGGACGATTAATTTTAATGAAAACCAACACTGCGTAAGTGTAAATGATTTCATATTTGACGAATTGGTGAGTAGTAATGGAGTAATTTGATAAAATTTTAAGATCAAACCTTATCGTAATTTATTGAGACAAATTTCTATTGGAAGGCTAAAGTTTTTAATCAGCGCTGAACATAAAGGTAAAAGCTTCACACGAAAACTTTAATAAAGTAACATTCTTTCAATATACACGTACATGAAAACTTTTTGCATACAAAGTTTTAACATTTTACTACTTTATAAATACTCAACCTTATAGAAAATTCAACATATTTAAATACTTATTAACTTAAAAAAATATTTTAAATCTTTTGTGTGTGACTTTTTCACTTATGTTATCGCTGATTTGAAAAACATTATATTAGTTGACTCTCAAAATGACAACTAGTATCTAAAAAAGGTAATTTTTTTAAACAGGACTTTTACCAATTAATTTATTACACAGAATATTTCATAATTTTTCATGATTTACTAGTTTAACATGAAAAAAATTAAATTAATAATGTGTCATGAAAAAATGTACATGAATATATTAATCTCTTGTAATCTTGACGTAGTTTTATTTGACGATTGACTTTCCGTTGACTTATTTTTTAATCTAGAACTCACCTTTTTTCTAATATTCAAAAAAATAAAAATTTTTTGAAATATATTATTATCTAGGAAATAATTGCATGTTCAAAAAAGCTAATTTTAGAAAAAGAATTTGTAAAGTGGTATTTTTTAATTTTAGATGTATTAGTTTTCAAAATTTCTATTCAAGCAATGCATCATATGTTGTATAAATAAAACTATTATGATGATATACTCAAAAACTCTTAAAACTAACTTTAGAGAGTGATCAGAATCCTCAATCAAGAGCTTAGATCCTTCGATTATGAATTAGTTTCCCAAAAAAATTATAGGTGTATGTTGTCATATTTATGTGTAATTTTTGAAGATAAGGAGAAAATATAATTAACATCCTCAAAAATGTTATTCTAATAGGCGTCTAAGGATCCACAAAAAAAAATAATAAAAAAAAATTTAGTAGTATTATGTATTATTTATAAAATTAAGTGTCTCTATAAATTTTATAAATAAAAAACAAACTCACGTGTCAATAATCTATAAAATAAACTGTGTTCTTAATACTGGCATTCATAACAATTTATTTTGTAAAATTTTTATAATATTAGAAGATTACGTAAATTAACCAAGAAAAAAGTCAAGACTTTTGCTCTCTACTTATGGACGCTCATGTTTTAGGGTGTCGGTTTTTTACCAGTTCACAAGTTTATTTAAAGTAATTAATTCAGTTCTGGTACCTGCAGTGGCGCAACTAGGAAGGTTTTAACCTTCATGAAATGATTTGCCATGTTTGAATTATTATTATTATTATATAACTAGTAAATTTTACTATTTCAATTGTATTTTTATCAATTATTAATATTTTTTTTTGATTTTAAATAGCTATTTAGAGTAAAATATTTTTCGTGAAAAAAAAAATAAAGATAATAACTCTCTCATATTTGCTCAAAATTATTTTCTAATTGCGCCACTGAATACTAGACATATTTTCGTAGTTTGTATATTTGTTCGTGCAAATAAATCAATAAAAAGAAATGCATTAATTTTATTAAAAATACAAGATACTGATTGTTGACAAATGCTGAACTGCTAAAGTAAACACTATCACAATTTAAAGTATTTCCTATTAATTCAAATATAATTTATAAGAACTGCAACAAGCTTATCAGTTTTCATTTTATTTTAATTAAAAAAAAAAAATACATAATAAATATCAACTCTATTAATAAAATGTATTGTTATTATTATAGTTCGAAAGTCAATGATAAACATTACATCAATTTCGTTTAAGAGATTTATTTCAACCTTAACCTTTATGTCAAATGATTAATATATAGTGACTTTAATATTATTAAAAAAACGAGGAAAGTATTCAATATTTATAAATAATAGTGGGTATTATTTATGATATAAAAAGCGAATTTCTTATATAAAAAAAAATAATTTAATAGTGCACACAATGCCATTGGCTTGTAAACAAGTGATTTTACGAAGGTTTTAATTAAAATACTTAACAGAATTCTTAGCCAGTGTAATATGAAATCTTACAAATAGTTATTCATAAATGACTACAAAAAAACGAATAACAAAAACTCATACAAAAACACAAAAGACATTTTTGATATTTACATAATATTCAAATTAAATAAACAACAATTATTAAAAACGAAGATATTATCTACTCCTAATAAACGTGAATCACATTAGTGAATATATTACATAATAAACGGTCAATTATAAATATATTGTAAATAAACAATCGCTCAGGAAGCTACAAATTAAATATATAGGTGCATAATCGAGCAGCAACAAAAATGTTCACTTAATTAATTAATTTTTAGTTAATCTAATTCTGATACATATTAAATTATTTGACATTATTATTCATGTGACATAAGTTTATTCGCATATTTTTAATATATTTGCTACCTATAATACAAATGACAAACTTAATGATAAAAATGATTAAAAAATAGTAATTTAACTAAAAATTAAATTAATTTTTTTTATTTCTCTCATTTAATTGTATGAGAAAAGTGATTTAACCAAATCAAAGTTATAAATAAAAAAAATGACGCAAATATATAAACAAATCTCTTCATAAAATTTAATAAGAAAAATCATGACAAAAATTTTGTTTAAAATGACATTTCCAAATAACGAAGACATTTTAGCTTAATAGTAGCAATTTTATATAAAAAAAAAAATAATGAGTAATTATTTATTTTAATATATTATAGTAATTTTTATACTTAAGTAAAAAAAGAAATCGCTATAGTAGCGATATCAAATAATTGAGTGAGTAATACTTGAAAAATTTAAACAACCAATTAGAGATTATCTGAGATAATGATACAGTTCCTCATAATTGTACTTAGTATGTTGTAATTTAGGATGCAAAGATGTATGTATCAAAGGTAACGGTAGAAAATAGTATATAGTAATAAATAATAACAGTAATAGTAAATGACGGGAATATGACATAATCTTAATAACCGCTAAATCCAAATGAGAAGAAAAATAATAATTCAAGATAAAATATCTTCGTTTTTTACACATTATAAAAACAGTTACGAAAGGACCTTTTTTTTTCTATTTATCAGAAAATTTATTTACAATCTATTCAACAAGTACATTAAGTAAATTTGATGACAGCTATTATATACATGACAATGAAATTGACGTTTATGGGAAGACACTCAGCAGTGACACTCGGCTAGGAAGTTAAAAAAAATAAATAAATAAAATAAATAAATTTTTTAATATTAGTTGTTGTAGAAGGTCTCTAGGTCATCTTCTTTTTAATCTCCTAAGAGCATTATCGGGAAGGGAGGGCGAAGATAGTTGCTTTATTAGGGGATTAAAATAAGTACTTAAATTTGAATGGAAATTGAGTAGAGCGATTTTACTAGTTGGTATGTTTAAGTCTTTATGTAAGTTTTTATTTGTAACATACCAAGGGGCAGAGGTTATTAGGCGCAAACAAATTGACTGGAACGCCTGGATATCGAAAGGACCTAAAACCAAAATTCTTCTATATTTATACCTTTGATAAATACAAATTTATAATATTTAACCATTTATATCGTTATAAAAGCAAAATTGAAGCAAACATTTTATATTTTTTTATACATTATTATTATTAGTACATAGAAATTTTCAAAGTTTACAATGATTTCTCACAGAATCTTAAGTAGAATTTTAATCCTTGAAGTGTTTTTAATAGAAACTGATCATATCTTAAGAAACACAAAAATTATTTAGTATTATTTATTATTTTTTCGTTTCAATATAACTTGTTCTCTTTTTCAACATTTTTATAAAACACTAAACAATTTTTTTTTCATTTTAAAAATATTAATAAGTTTTCGGAGATACTTTGAGATCAATTTAACAATATATCTAAAATGAAAGCCCCACTGGTACAATAACCAGAAACATTCAATTTTAAAAAAATTTTAAGAGAAAATTATAATAAATTCGTTTAAAACGCAGCACAAAATGTTAGTTACATTTTATTCTAAATACACGGAAAATTGATTGTCTGTTGCACCTTTACATAAGGCAGTATCACCATACTAATTATAATCATGTAAAAAAGTAAATTTTCAAATATAGTGGACGTACCTGGTTATTTAATCAGTAATTTTAATTCTTAAATAGTTATACAAAAGACAAAACAACATAAGTGAATGCTGACCCATGTTAACGCACTTTGAAGTACGTTCTGTTATTTAAAATCATATTTTTCAAAATTGGGTAAAAATACATTACTTTGTTTTGATTTGACTATAAAATTAAAAAAAATGGTAAATTCATAGGTTTACTTAACATTGTAATAAAAAATTTAATGGATAAATATAGTTTTTGTTCAATCAACTTAATGAACCTCAGAAATTTCACTTTTAATAAAAAGTATCCCAATTTTTACACAAGTGTACAAGGAGATTTTTTTTATACACAGTGTGAGGGAAAATGTTGGTAAATAATGATAGAAATGTTATATTTTTTGTGTAGGAATATTTTGATACTTTATATCAAAATTACAATACTTGAATGTAAAATTAACATGTATATTAAATATATCATACTGAAGTATCTGAATTTTTGGATCATTTTTACAATGTAACGTTCATATAAATAATTTCAAAACATTTATATTAGATATTTGTTTAACGTCGTTTGAAACTAAAAGTATTTTCATTACTCTTTGTACTGTAAAATTACATAATTTCTAAATTAAAAAAAAGTACCTCCTCTTCTCCAAAAAGGTGGTTTCACCGTGTAAGTCAAATCTTCAAATTGGAGATCCATGTTTAAGGAATTTTTTTTTTTTTATTGAATAAAAAATAAAGGCACACTAAAGCACCACAAATATGAAAAATATAAAATTGTCTAGCATTAGATTTCTCATAAATTAACCACTAAGAAAACGATGACCATAACGTACATGAGTGATATCAACGAGAGTAAAAGCGGCACTGGGCCGGCCATGGTTGTGATAATATGTGCTGCATTAGTTTTACATCAGTGAAAGAAGGAGAAAGGGGAGCCTTGACACTGTCCCGCGGTCTATCTGGTTACTGTTTGCATGGCGATGTCCGGTCGGATGGCGTACTTGCCGATGAGATTAGATCGTCCGTATACTTTTGTTTGGATCTCCTAAGTAATAAAAGTAGAAGGGTCACGTGGATTGTTCTTAACTTTTGTCTATCGAATGATTAAAAATGTTCAAGTTGTTGTTGATTCACCTCCATGAATTAAATTTTATTTTTTCCTCAAATGTTCATTGTCTACCGAAACAATAAGTTAAAAAAGCATTTGTTTATCATTGTTAAATTGGTTTTGTTCACTATTGCAATGGCCTTCTTTTTATTGCAGATCAAAGGTGTATACTCAAACTTCAATAGAGTCTGAAAATAATAAATATTTGTTATATTGGGTTTAAGGTCATCCGTAAATAATGACATTGAAATAGTCAAAACAATAAAAAGTTTTCTCTTTTTGCAAATAAATAAAATAGTTAGGGTTGGCGAGATTGAGATTTATATTTATCTATCATTCAAGTAAATAGTTTACCCTCAAATTCCAAGTATAACATCGTGACTGTTTTTCAAAAGCTAACGTGTCAATTTTAGAAATTTTTCAGCAAAATCAAAGGTTGTAACAAATTATCAGTTTCGTTGATGAAAATGTTCTATAAGACATTTTCATCAGAAACGAAAATACAATTTTTAAACTATTCGTCTTGTCATAATATTTAAAAGTCTAGTTAATCAGTTAAAACAAATAAAAGTTTACATTTATTCAAAGATTTTTTTTTATCTAATGAAAAACTCAGAAGAAACAGATTTGTATTCGTGTTGCCCAATACCGCCTAAATAAATTTTTTTTAGTAGTAACGTAAAAGAAGTATTACTAAAGCATTACTACAGAGAAATCTCATTTTTTAATGAATTATGTAATTTAATTAAGTCTTTTAAGTAATAAATAATTTAAACACCTATTAAAGTAATTTGAAGTAAAGTAAAATGATTGTTACATAGAGTGATCAAATTTTCAATGAGTAACAAGACGATTAACAAAGGTGTTAATGTTTGTCCTCCCACTTTCTTCTAATAATAATTAGTCACTACCAATTAATGAAAACGTACCAATACTAAGATATCACTAAATGAATTAGGTAACTCTGTAAATATTATATAATTTACGCGAATCCATTGGAACACATAAAACAACACTTATATTCCAGTTTTGTATAACAAATAATAAATTGTTATATTAATAGATTAAAATGACACTCGTAGAGGGGTAGGAGGCATCCTAAGTATTGCCATTGCATTACTTAGGATTCATCATGTCACTAACAGAAACAATAAAGAAAAAAAAACATACAATCCTAGTTACCAAATCTTTTGATTTAAATTTGAATTTTTTTGTTAATAAAAAATAGATTCTACGGTAACTGTAACTAACAAAATTTTAAAAACCAATAGCGATATTTAGATCGGTTTTGTACGGTTCACGGATAGAAAACATAAAATGTTTTTTTTGTTTATTTCTATGACGATCCCAAATAGTTAATAACATTAATAATAAATTTATTAATTTTCAAATAAGAGAGATATTATTAATAGGTAAATTGATTAATATTAGGCAGTAATTAGTGTACGACAGTATATAACAATTTTTTTTGGGGGGAGGGTTGGACATTTTTTTTTAATTCAAACAAAAAAAGTGGCAATTTTTAACAACGTGCCATGGATTTTGTATTAGATAACATGTTACAATTTTTATTATCTTTCATTAAAATCGTATTGAAAACGACATATTGAAATAAAAATCTGAAATGTATATTTTTTTAAAAAAAATAAAATCACAAAGAACTATTTTATTGGATTTTTTTTAAGTTGAAAACTTGAAAAAGTCCACTCGGTATATTTTAGTTGGGTTATTTCTGAACACCAGTGCTAAGTTAAATAAAAGTGAGTTTTCATTTTAATTTATCTATATCTAAAAAAAATCAAATTTTTAAATTTATTTGTTAAAAAAACAAAAAATAAATATATCTAATTATTTATTTTAAGTTACTTATAAATAATTATATTACAATTTCAAACAAGTAAAATATATAGAGTTTTTCTCACGTTAACAGGTAATAATAATATTACTTTTGAAAATACTAAAGATTTTTATGTTATCATACTAAAATTCATCAATCTTTTACTTATAATTTTAATTAAAAAAATACAGTACAATAAGAGCAAAGACCAAAAATGTCGTGAAACTGATCACGTACACCAAACAATTCTATATACATCCTTAATAATTTCAATAAATATTATTGTTATAACAAATTGTTAATTTTTAAAGATTTTTTTCTATAATTTCTTCGCGTGCTTTAATGCACATCTACCACTTTACTGAAAATTAAACTATTTTAATTCATTGAAGAGTTCATTAACATGAAGTATTTTTATGTTAATATAGAGGGCATTACATTTTTAATGTAGTATGAAGCGGGCATTTTAAGTTTAAAAGTTATGGATTAAAAGATTTGGATAAGTAAGATATTTGATGGTTTAGATTATTCCTAATTTGTATTCTCCAAAACCCAGTATATATTAAACTTCTTATTAATCTATTTTTTTTTACAAAACATATTTAATTAAATATAACTTAATAATTAATAAACTAATGTCTCTTCTGGGAAATACCATCAACACTTTTTAAACTACTTAGATATTTCACAAAAATTTCCTCACTGTAAAAATATATCCATTTGTATTACTCGGCCTCTTACTTGCTAAGACGTTAAAAATATTAAATAAAAAAATGAGTATAAAATCAATGTATCAAAGTAAGTTGAACTTTTTTATTTTATTTTTATCTATTTAGTTGATTATACAGGCAATATTAATTTTACAGAATATGCGTAAACAATTATACTTGACTTTTGTACCAATAAGCATATAAGCAGTTACTTGTAGAAATATTACACTAATTTATTATAATTTTTTTTACATAACTTTTTGTACTTGATCGACCCCAAGTTGTTAGCATTAAGGCACAGAAAAAGAAGACATAACTTTTTGTGCACAATAAAACAATAAAGTATTGTGTCATAAATATGAAACCATAAATTAAGCAGCCTAAGAGTTAAATATTATGAATTTTTTTGGTTTCTTTAAAGCCTAACATTAAGTCTATATGATAACTTATTGGTCAAAACATTTACATAACAAAAATATATAATAAATATACCCACACACTAATCGAATAACAATATGATCACAAGCAACTATTCATTTAACATTTTAATTTAACTATGGTAAACGACTAAAAACTTATGTTCCTAATGAATAATGTTATCTTAAATAATTTATCTTGACAAATCTTAAAACATCGCATAATAATACGATGTAGGCCTGAAATAGTAACAATTATTTAAACAAAATGAAGAAATGTTTGGAAATATTTAATGATTTTGCAAATTCAAACGTCATTAGCATTATATTGCACAATCATTACGTATTACAAGAGATTTTGTACCTTCTGATATTAAGTCAACATACTTTTAATTCCGGAAAGAAAATTTATAACACAACCTTTGCACAATTCATTAGCAAAACTTATTCATCAAGGCAAATGTAATAATAAACAATTATAATGGTATTTATTTTGAAAAATAATAAGTACACAAACTTACAAACAAATTAACTTTAAACTTTTAAAACCTTCGGGATGTATTAAGTTGAATACCCCAGTCATAATTGATATGTGAGTATTGTATTAGAAAGTTAAATGATATTATGCAATTTTTCATCTGAAGGTCGATCTCTGAAGATCTACGATTCCTAAACAAAAAACATTTATCTTTTTATGAGCTAACTGAACATTATTACATAACTAAGATGAAGACTAATATGTTTGTCTTTTTTTTTTAGAAAAACAACAAAGATTATCTGAGGAAGCTCAAAGTCATGAAACATTAAAAATAACTATAAAAAGATTATAATAAACTTCGACTTGTTTTTAAACACAGTAAACAAATTTATTTATAAATAAAATTTTCATATGAAAAATAACGTGTTATTTCTTCCAATTATGTTATTTTAAGATGTAATACTAATTTTTGAACTTTCCACAATGTTTTATAAACCAATCAAGTAAATGTTAGTAATTTAGTGTATACATTTTACACAATGAAATAGATAAGTGTATCTATAGAAATTGCTATTTACATTGTAAAAGGAGATGGAGAAGATAGATCAAAAAATCATTGAACATAGGATTTCGTTTACAGGAAGAGTGAATATTTATACACAGAGTGATTCCTTAACTACATCTTACAAAATATTTTTCAAGTTATAAAACAATAATAATGATTCATTGTTGAGCTACTCTATGAAAAAAATTAAATTTTTAATATTACCACTTTTGACTTAATCCATCATTAACTTTTGTTTTTTTAATGGAAACCTTTTTTTTCCTACCATCAAATTTGATTGAATAAAAAAAAATTTTATAGCAAATTTTTAAAATAAACATTTATTTTTTTATCTTTATTAAACTTAAAAAACTTATAATTCACTGAGAATTGAATAAAATAAAGAATTTTATTCAACACAACCCTAATAGTACAAAAAAATAAAAGTAGGGTTCCCATTTGAAAAACCAAAGTTGTTTAATAGTTTAAGACATAAGCTATTACAGTAGATATTGAACTTTTCTATAGAGTAGCTCAACAATGAACCATTATTGTTCCAAAAAAAAAAAATTGTTTTCTCTTATATTTTCAAAAATATTTCGTGAGGTGTTTTGAAAAGTTATCGTATACTATATATTTTCCAAGATTAAATTCCATTGGTGCTGTTAGATGTATTTATCGAGAAAATCCCGTCAAAAATCAAGTGCCATCACTAAAACAATAATATTGTTTAGAGCTCTAAAAATAAACGAAGAAATAGATGTATAATATATAATATATGAAATCTTATATAACAAAATAACTTAATTTTTTTATTGTTTTTATGAAAACTTTAATTGTTGTAATATATTTAATTAGTGTTTCAAATGTGTTCTGAATTAATATACTAACAGCCCTTTAAGTTTTTTTTTCATAATTTTACCTTAAATTTAAAGACCTCGTAAATTATTGATAAGATAGTGCTTTAAAAATGTTTCGAAGGTAATAATTGTATTATTTGAAAAAATAAAAATCATTATATTATAAATTATGGTCATATCGCAAAGATACAAACAGTTCCAAGGAGTTAACGAAATTTGCATAAAAATGTATATCATTAATTCAAATGCACACCTTCAGAAAAATTTTTTATTGAAATCATTTATTATCATCAATTTTGATAGAATATAGTTCCTACAGAAAATTTACTTTTTAATTTTATTCCAACCTTCAAAATCCATAAACTGCTAAATAAAAATATTGGTTAAATGTTATTTTCAAGGTAAAATTTTTATATCGCTTTATTGATAATTCTTCGGAGGGCTAAATTCGGGTTTAAATAAATATTTTGATTAATTATAAATAATTCAAATAAAAAATATATATATACAAGTAACTGTTTTTGTGGTTAAAACTTGATATTACAAACAAAACATAACAATAATTTTATCTATGGACGTGAGCTAAGCTAGCCATTTAAAAATTTAGATTATTAACGGCGTACCATAATGCTCAAGTTCACAAATCATAAACAGTGTACCAGGTTGTTATTACCTCGTATGATTACGAAGAAGTTAAGCAACAAATGAAAGTAATTTAATGATCAGCAGGATCACTTTCTCCTTCATTCAACGACGTGAATCTGTTAACTGGACACATTGACCGTAGAAATCTATTTTTAATAATAAAACGACCAAGTCATATAAATTCAGAGTAGGTATTTCATAGGATGTCCAGTAAAATTACTAGGTATGGAATGTTTAAAAATATTATATAGAATGTTCAATAAGTAAGGAAACGGGTTTTTTTTTGTTCACATTGTAATCGATATGTTTGATTACTTACTAAACACTACGACATAATTACACCATTTTCTTTTACTGTATTTACATGTAACTTAAGATAAGTTTATAACATAAAATTGAAGTTGAAAAATTTTAATAAACGTAAAATAAAATGTATAATAAATTATAAAATATTATTTAATTTTCAAAATAATTGAAATATTTAATCACCTGTGTGTAATTAAAAGAGATTGACTTATTTTTCGTTAGAATTGTACTTGGAATAAAACTTAATCAGACACTGTAATATATAATACGTGTATGTGTTTCTAAACATATTACTTGATATTTGCGTAGATTGAAGAAATAAGATTTATCTCATAGTATTTAGCATTACATAGATGAGATATCGCCGAACAGTACATTTTTTAAGGTGGTAACTGGACGACCCAGTGAATTGTGCCCCTCGTTATGTTTTTACCTTTTCATTTTGGTATATTTTTCTGAAACATTTCAGACTTTCTACGTATAACTATTATGTCAAGAGTGGTCAAATGATTATAAAACGTTTGGGGTATCTATGAGTGAGAAATTAGTTGCTTTCATAATACACTAATATTATTATGTAATTGTAGTACGCTCAACAGCTTTCGAACAAATTTGCTAAATCCGGAAACGTCCGACAAGTTATTCGGTTGATGTATACACAATTATGAGTAATGATACTATTTTATGATACAGTTATTCCCTTAAGTGATTCACTGAATCGTTAATTAAATTTATTTTAATTTAGAAACTTATTAAGTGAACATCATTATATTAATTTACTAAATATATTTAAATTCTTCTCCATTTATAATTGAGTATAAACTCATTAGGTTTATTAAAACTAGTAAAATTATTTTAGAAACCTTTTTTCACTAAAAACTTATTGATTTAGCTGAATTAATAACAAACATACATGTGTTTAATTTATATCATTTTAAACGTCCCTTTTAATTTATAACTTATAAAAATAATGATTTTGTCAACTATACTATTATGTCAACTATTATATATTCTAAAAAATAAAAATATGAAAGCACAGCTAAAAAAAATATATATATATTTTTTTAAAATAGAATAATAAAAACGATATTTTGAACTTAAATTAATACTTTTTTACACACTATTTTTGAGGAAATTGCTTAAAGAATTCTTACAGAAACAAAAGAGAAATCCATAAAAGACTTAAAACAAATTGGAATTATTGTTAACTAAATAACAGCTCAAGTAACTGATAAAACAACATAATATGAAAATCAGTGTAACCAAAAATTACCACCGTCTCGACGATGGCAATATTTAGTTTTTAAATTATATAGAACCTATGAGTATAATAAATTTACTTAAATTGTTCTTTATACAAAAATTTCATTAACAAAAAAAAAAAATTAATTTAACTGTTATTACTTAAATAAATATTAGAGTATTTTAATTAATATGATTAAATTTAAAAATATTAGTAGCAACCAAACGTTTTATTAAAAAACAATTATTTTTAATTTTATTAACAAATAAATTGTCCACTTAAATACGTTAAAATACGTTAGAATTAAAACAGCTAGATAACGAACATTTTTAATACATTTTTTTTTTTTCATAACATTCAAGTAATAAGCTTAAAAGTAGTTCATGCTATGTTTTTTTCAAAAACTTTAAATGTTCTTTTATAGTATATTGATTCTCATATTGGAACATAATAACATAACTATATTATAGTCTCATTTTTAATTCTTAGAACTTAAGAAGTTTTACTAATATATTAGTCTAATAAACAATAAATAAGAAAGTCTATTTAACATAATTGTTAAATTAATTGCTTGAGGTTATGAAACATTTAAATTCAGATTTTGTTTCTATCATTTCAAAAAAATTTTAACATGTAGAGTTTGATTGGAACTAATTTTAACTATGATTTCTTTTAAAGCGAGTTTCTAACTAATTTATTATGTATAGCAATATTATATAAATTTAAACAATGGTACCTTTCTTTTTGTGAAATATTTTGGTTATCAGTGCAAAGTTATAAAATAAACAAGGGTAAAAAGATAACTAAAATAAGTTTAAAGAAATTCTTTAATTTGTAATAAAATTTAAAAAATGGGACTAAAATAGATAAAATTACTAATTATATTAATCTAAAAAATTTTAATGTGTGGGATCTGTTCCAATCCTTATACTGACCCTAAGATCTAGTCCTAGCTGTTATATAATTATATTTTAAAATATAATATTGAGTTTACACATTCATCATGTTACTAAAAATAAACCTGGACATAGACATTGGCGTGCAGGTTTAATAATTGCATACATAGATAAAAATAGTTAAAGGGTTCCAAGTTTATTAGTGTTAAAATAATACTTATAAAAGCATACTTATGTAAATCCAGTATATATATTTATAAAATAATGACAATAATTAGTACTAATATTTTTACTTCAATCATTAATTCTGCGAAAAAATAATTTAAAGATAACAACACAATAAAAAAATTAGTATAACATTAAAATATAAATATATGTGTAAAAAAAAAGTATAATTTTACTTACTTAATATTATTTACAAGTTTTAACTTTTACGTTCTCATAAAACAGTTTAATATTAGCTATTATAAAATAATTAAATTTATTTTATCTTTATATGAAAAATATAAATTAACTCATGTACTAGAAATTTGTATTTTGTTTTTCAAATTTTTATTTTTGTTTGATTTTAACTGTGTAATTTTACTAGAAAAGCTTCCAACTGAATGCACAAATCTACCAAGAATATTTTTCTTTTTTGAAGAGACGTATACATTATCTTTAGATATTTTCAATTGATCCAATTGTTCTATTTCTTTGGTATGACTTTTAGTAGAATCATTTAACTTGAAACTTTTGTCACAAACATTTTCACTTATACTGAAAATAAAAATTATAATTTAGAAAATTTAAATATAAAATTAAATACTAATTATACTTATTATTGAGTAGGCTAGGTGAAATAGTGATTCTTAATCTAGCCCATGGATCACAAAAATGATTACTCCTATTAAAAAATAAATGGACATAACATTTGAGTTCTTGAGGTAAAATACATTCATCAAATACACATGGAATAATTTTTGGAATACGTTGTTCTATAAAAACCAAATATATTAGATAACTTTAATATATAACATTTAAGAAAAGAGTAATAAACCCCATAAACTTGGCCTTAGGTTTTTAATTTAATATAATTCTGATAACACACATATTTAAGTGATAAATAAATTTTATAACATCGATGCTATATATCCTAATAAGAAAAAACTATCAACAAGTTTATGATTTTATGGAACAAATATAAAAAATTGAACACAATAATCATATTAAATTTTTTCATAATTAATGCTACAATAGATATGAACTGGAGAAAAAAAATCACTTAACCTAACAAAAAACATTTTTAGAGATACATTTTTACAAACCTAAAGTTATGTTTATGCAAGTACACTAAAATGATTTTTGAATGTGTTTAAACGCTATTTAGCAAAACACAAGGAAAAAAATATTATATTCCTACTTTCTATATAAAAATTAAATACTTTACCTATAGCTAAAACTTGTGTATAGTTAATAATAAACCTGTTCCAAGGACTTTTAAGAAAATTATTTGACACAATTGTTATCAACCAATTACATCGATCAGATATCAATCTTATAATTGCTTGATATTCAAACATAATGCCAGGCCTTAAATCACGATCTTTTAAGCATAACTAAAAGTAATACACAATTGGTACAAATTTTTAAGATCAAAACAAAAAAATTTATACTTTTAGATTATAAATTTCTTCCAATCTTTGTACAATTTCACTGGCTGATTTAATATCAGCATCATCATATAACAAAAATGCATCATACCTTGTTAAGGGAAGTCCATTTGTTGATCTATTAATGTCATCTAAAAATAAAAATTACTGAATTAGTAATTTTCAATTGTTAATCATTAAAACTTACCCAATGTAATAATATCAGAATCATTTTCTTGGTGAGTTATAACTGGAACAGGGTTTACTACAGAAAATTGTTTTTTTTTCCAAGCTGTCACATCATTTTCTAAAACAATTATTTTTATATTTCATTAAATTTTTAATAAATTTTATTCAAACTTACTAATCATTTCTTCAATTTCATCAACAACATCATATCTATCCAACCGTTCCAAACATTGAATAAAATATGCTATGGTAACTTTATGTTCACAAAATTTAAAAATTTTTCCAACTGGATCAATAGGATCACATCCTGATGGTATAGTATAATTTAATAATGTGCATAATCCTCTCCAATCTCTATGATTAATTTAATTAATTGTATTATTAATTAAATAATTATATGTTATGCATATAATATAAAATTAATTAATTTCTAATTAATAGGTTTAAGAATATTTAATATTCACTTTCAAATTTTAACTGAATACAATTCTTTTTTTAACACGCTTATATTATTTGATTAAATATTAAAGTAAATAGTATTTAACTATAACTAATTTTTTGGCTTGAATAAATATTTTTATTATTTGTTCAATAATCAACAAAATTAATACACATAAAAAAATATGACATCTAAATACATACAACACATCCTTATAAGTTTATACATTTTTTTACAGAATTGAAAAATATTAAGGTTAATTTTAAAACTGAAGTTTAATAAACAAAATAATGATTTATAAATAAAAAAGTAAATATTTTCACCAGAGTAAACAATGTGTATATTCATTAAGATAATTTTGGATTTCACAAGTATACTCTAGACAAAATTCAAGCAATCAAATATTAAATAAATACATTTAATAAAAATTTAAAGAACTTACCTAGGAAAATTTTCAGGGGAAGGAAGTACCTTTTTGGCATTAAGCATACATGACAAACGTTCTCTAGTTGGTAACTGAAAAATAGATATATTAAATTTGGTAAGATCTTCTTTGTTTATTTCTGCATCCATCATAGAATTAAACTTAAAGCTCGGTAAATAATACCGACATAAATATTTATTCGATCATGAAAATATTTTTGAAATTTGGACAAGGGAAAGTATCAATCACTTAACAAAACAAAATGTTTTAATCGAGTACGTATAGATAACTCCCTTTCCATTCATTTAATAAACTACGATGTACGCTTACTTATTATTAGGTATTAAAAATTTAGTGATAATGACTAATGCCGTGCGCCCATAGGTATGCATATGAAAGGTATTTTGCAATAGGCATTGTAAGTTGCCTATAAATATTTACCAGGCGTAAGTTTTAATAAGAAAAATTCCACCTTTAACAAAATGTTTAATGCGTGTGTTTTTGTGTAAATAATATGCTTGAAAAATGTAGCACTTTTGTATTTTATAGTTTATTTGAAAAACTGTTTCATTAAAATGCGATTTGGTGTATACATTATTCTGTTAGTTTATTAACTTTAAAATACTTATTTAATAAATTAAGAATTAGAAAATTAAGTGTGATCATTAGGTTTTTGCTTTGGGGTGGATACACATTAAGAAAGTTATCATTACTCTCTCAAAATGAAAAAAATGTACTTTTACCATGTAAATAATTTTGTTCAGGAGCTCCATACCAGCCATATCCCCATAATTACTGTGGTTAATTAACTAAACTTGATATTTACAATAGTTCATAAAAACAAATTAAATTTTTATGAAAAAATCATTATTTAACGAAAAATGAGAGATATTATTCAAATTGTACCGTATATAGAGTTTTCAGTAAGTAAGGAAACACTTAGTCAGTTCGTCAGTTGTACAAACAATGAGAACAATAGAAACCCGTTTTCTTGTATTTGCCAGTGATATTATTCACTAAATACTTCTCATTATGTAATTGCTTTCTAAGAGATATTTAATCTATATAATAAATTTGTATTATTATATTATATTTATGTTAATAATTTGACGTGAATCTTAAATGATATTTCATTGAACGCATTTTATCAAGTTAAACGTCTCAGACATAATTAACTATAGTTAATATGTTAATTATTGTTATCTTACGACAATGTAGTTACTCCAAAACCAGTGTCAACATCCATTTTTAACTCTTAGAATACTTCGTGTCACTAATGTTTTTAAATTACTAATGAAATGGTAGTTATTACTTTCTAAACAGTAATAACAATTCACTTACCAATCAAAAGGTATATTAAAAACTTATTAATCAGTTACTATGGAAATCAATGTGTTTTATCAATGACCTTTTGCTTGTAAATTTAACTGAAGTCTTTTTTACATCTTATATTATTTCTTTGATTATAATTTTACCGATTTTAAATGCTTTGGGGTGCTAGTCCATGTTTAGATTTAGGGTCTTATGGATCTGGTAATGGAGAATTAAATTTACTGATTATAAGTGCTGGTGACAGCCGTCATATTTTACAAACTCTTGCAAAGCGTTACAATCATAAATATTTGAGGATCAATTTTTTCGTTTATGAGCCTGTAGCTGAAATGTATGCAAGGCAAATACAACAGATTTCTTTGGCACTAGAACCTATCGACCGATTTAGCTTATCTTTTAAGGTATCCTAGTCTACGAATAAATCTTACATTTTTGGCATAAGTGTAGAATTTTTACAATAGAAACATTATTAAAAATAGTGTAATAAATTTTTTCAATATAGACATTTCTTAATTTTTTTTTTTACTCAGGTACGTACTTGGATGGAACTATATGGGAACACTCTAGTGAGACCTAACACTAACAATTATTTGATTAAAAAATCAGCTCAACTCATTGATGTAATCACTAATAACGAAGCTAACCATTACTGCTTGCCAATGTTAAATTTTGATTCACTCAAATATAAGGAGAGAGATGCAATTGAAAATATATTTAAGTATTGGAAAAATAACTCTGGTTTCAATATTAGTAAAATGTGGGACAATAGATTGCGAAATTATTTAGGAAAGCGATATGATTACCGAAATAACAGTTTTGATTGGGATTTACACATGGTTCTTCATTATATTGAAGGAGGTAAACGAATAACAAGTCAAGAGTATATATATTGGAGAAATACAGGGGTTGCATATACTTTCTTAGAAACTGACTCGACAGACCCTAATTATACATTTGCCTTAGTAATAGCTAGAGATGGAGAAAAAACAGTCGCAGTAAATTATTATGGGGATATTTTAAATGGGCCTTTCCCATCATTTGGATTAGATTGTGAAGATGAAGATATGTTAAAGATGGGAAACATGCAACCACTTAAACGCTCTACCGATTTGACAGAAAGAAACTTGACGAGATTATTTTATGAAATTGAAAATCAAAAACCTTATATACACAAAGGTAAAAATGATAACATAGGAATAATCATCACAGAATTACCTAAAATCAAAATTCAAGAAAATCAATTAGAAATAGAACGAGCCAAAGTTTATTCAGAACGTTACCCCAGTATTAATGTCAATGATGTAGAAGTAAAATTTATAACAAAAACTGCTATGGTAGATTACCCACAACTCGATAGATACAAACAGTTTTTTGACATAATATATTGTGGTCATACTTATTTTGAACAAATGAACCCAAAAATAATATCGATGGTAAAAGATAATGGCACAGTACTAATAGAATCTAGAAAGTTTATAGTTAATTATAAAGAAGAACAACATAATGCTTATAAACAAAAATTATTAGATTTAATAAAGATGAGCGAGTGTAGAACAATGTCTGAAATTGATGTTATTAAAAATGCAGTAATAAGTTACAAAATTCAGAGAGATAAATAACATTATATTTTCTAAATAATTATTTAAAATAAATTTACACTGATTTCTGAAGTTATTTTGATAGTCACAATAAACTATCAATACAAAGTAAAATCAAAAAAATAATTAATATTTTAATGATTACATTGAATACTAGCCAATATTTTAAACTATTTTTATTGCGTAATGGCTTTAGGTTCTTCTTTCTGTGCTACACCTGACAAAAGTGTTTTAATACGAGCAACAGCTCTTCCAGGATTTAAACCCTAGAAAAAAAACAAGATTAATTGAATATATATAATACTATAATCTAAAAGAAATAAAATAATTTTTTACAAATATACCTAATAGGTTAAGTTTATTAAATACATACTTTTGGGCAAGTTTTAGTACAGTTCATAATAGTGTGACATCTAAAAACTTTAAATGGATCTCTCAATTTATCCAAACGTTCAGCTGTTGCATTATCTCTTGAATCAATTATCCAACGATAGGCCTAAAATCATGATTAATGAATTAAATCTATTGAATATTTATAAAGAAAAAGGGTCAAATACACCAAGTTAACTTTAATTGATACAAAAAACACTATTTTTTAATTATGCACAATAGATAATTATTTTGGTAAAAGAATAAAAATAGACAATAATTTTTCCGAATACACCAAATTAAGACAAAATTTTAACTGGTCCATCATTTTACAAAGTCGCTTGCTTCGTTCAAAATTCCTTATATTTTTTCATTTAAGTAGTATTGTACAAATAAATAATTGTAAACTTTAGTATAAAAATATAAAACCAAATTATAATTGATAATGGGAAAACAATTAACTGGACTGTTAATAATTCTTGTTATCTCAGTAGTAAAAACGTTTTTGTTTTTAAAATGACCAATATGTATTAATTATCAAAAATGATTAAAAAGTATATATTTTTTTGATTTAATAAAAAGGCAATTTCCACAATTAGACTCTGGATTTTTATTAAATTTTATTTATAATATTTAATTGACTTGGTTTAGCCAGTTCAAAAGTAGTTGGCCCTTCCCAAATGACATCCCTGAGAATAGATTTACTACATGTTTTTCAATACTTACTAGAAGTGATAAAAAATAATATTACAAAATCAATTATCTTAATAAATAGAAACAATATTATAAGCATTAAAAAACTAAAAAATATTTTGTTATAATACTGTAAAATTATAAATATTTTATACAAAATATTTCTTTAAAATAATATTTTTAAAATGTTATATATGTATAATTAAATTATAATTATAGCACATAATAAAAGCTTTTAATTTTAATTGTACTATTTTAATACCTGCATAAGAACAGCTGGACCAAGATATTTTTCAGAATTCCACCAGTATGATGGACATGATGTAGAGCAACAAGCACATAAAATACATTCATACAACCCATCCTTTAAAATAAAAAAGTATTAATTTAATAAATAGGTTAAAGTAGGGTAAATTTAAACAAATGGAGTAATTGTAAATTCATTTTTTCAATTAGAATATTTAGCACATTTTATTTAAGATTGAAGAATTATGGTCATTATATGTGTTGCTATCATACTTACAAATAATTAATAACAATAAGTTAATCAAACAATAATATTTAGACACGTTTTGTTGTTTATATTATACACCATGTGTTTTTGGAAATAATTCAAAATATATAAATTACTTATTTTTTCGTTGAATTTTTTTCTCTAATAAATTTTGATAAAAAGTGATTTTAATAAATATGAACGTCATTATTCCATTAAACATTAAAGAATATCCAAGATGGTCTTTAATATTTTAACTATAAAATATATACTATTTAACTCACAAGTTTCTCTCTGTCATAAGTATGTTGAAGATGTTCTTTATTGGAACTAGGAGTAGAATTGCTATGTAGCCATGGCTCAATAGAAGCATATTGTTTATAAAACAACTTCATATCTGGAACTAAATCTTTTACAACATACATATGTGGAAGAGGATATATCTTCAATGGTTTGGATAAATCTTGATTAACGGCACTAAATAATAAATAATAAATTACAACAAGAAATTCATAAATCAAACTGAATAATAGTATTTTTTATATTATCGTTTACTTAGTTTAAGGCTAAGTAAGTCAAAATATTTATAATTTGTACTTGAAGCAATGCCACTCAATTATTTTGTATTCATTGCTATTATAATAATCTAATAAGTAATGCATTACAAGGAAGCTTACCTAATACATGCCAGAGTATTAACTCCACCTATGTTCATAGCACAAGAACCACAAATACCTTCACGACATGATCGTCTAAATGTTAAAGTAGAATCTTCATTATTTTTTATTTTAATAAGAATATCCAATACCATGGGTCCACAACTAAAATTATAATAAAGGTATTAAAGTACTTGCTCTTAGCAAAATATTTTGTCAATAAGGATAAAAAGAAAATTGAGAAATAAACATGAATTAAAATGCATTTTGTTAAGGGGAATCTTCTTAAATTAAGATTATAAATATTAAAATATACTTACGTATTTAAATCAACACTATATTCTTGCAATTTAGGTTTTACATCTGGTGTTTCAGGGTTCCATCTATAAACTTGAACACGCTTAATTCTAGGCGTTTTATCAGAAACTTCTTTATTGGTTAAAATAGCAGAAACATGAATCTGCTTAGCTTGCTAAAAAATATATAAATAATTTAATAATTTATATTACAATTCATGTAACTAATTTAATGAAAATACAATAAAATTATTACGCAATAAGTGTACATATTTTACCTGTTGAAAGGTTTGTTTAAAGAATCGTAGTGCTGACATCTCTGTAATGTTCAAAGCCATGATTATTAAAAAATTGTATATTTTAGTAGTATTTATTTATATAGTATCAAAGTTGTGTTAGAGTAATTTAATACAAATGAAAATAATCGAAAAACTATTAGAAGTTCAAAGTTATTAATGTTACTAGTGATTAAGATTAAATAAGATATAAGGTACTCTTTATTAAAGTGTTATCACTCTTACAAGATGGCCAACAATTTATCCCATAAGCTTTATGTAATAAGTGATAAAAAAATGGTTCCCATTCTAACTACAGCTGATGATATACCTACGGATTATGGTAAAACAAACTATGAACATTTATTACAATTTATCAGTTAAGAAGTTAACATTTGATAAAAAACATGGACTGTTGAATTGTTACGAATGCTCTATGACAAAATTAAAAATTTGATCTTCAAAATGTATAGAAAGCTCAAACTTTTAAATCTATGGATTTTATTTTTTAATTACGGTTTTATTACTTTTAATGGTTTTAAAAATTTATAAATCAGTTAAAATTATATTTATTCATCATAAAAAATAATTATAAAAAAGTATTATCGGCATGTGTAAACTAGGACATAAAAACCCCAACACAGGTGGGTCACGGCACAGTAGTGACGTGCGTGAAATAGTTGGGTCAAGTATAATAATATGTGACAGTGATTAAAATCACTATCATAAAAAACGCTCCGATGCAAATCATTAGATAGTGTTTAATTTTAAAAAATTGGTGTATTATTCCAAAAGCTTTATGATCTGCTATTTCCTTATTTATATTCTGATTAAAATTAAGTATGTCGAATGAAAGAGGAGTATAAATATTATTTCTCATAAAAAATTGTATTGATCTATACATTTTTCATAAAGTTATAGCATAATAAAGTTAAAAATAAAAAATACAAAATCGAGAATATTCACACATAAATAGCATTCGGTAGCTATTTTCACCGTGAAGACAAAATAAAGTCCGAAATTTTTTTTTCCATGATAAAGTATATTACAATAGCTTTAATTTAAGATATATACAAAAGTGTCAGACTTTCCAAAACACTTTCAAAAGTTAAATTGAAAAAGTTGATAAAATGTTGAAAATTAGCAATTTTTAAATTTGTAATTTTTTTGGAGATTTCCCCCATATACGGAGATTGAGGGAATTTTTTTCAATTTTTGACGGTAATATCTTCGACTATATACGATTTGTGATCTTTTGACGTATTGTTGAAAGAAATGGGTTCGGTGATAGCTAAGAAAAAGTGGTAACAGTCACAAAAAAAAAAACACCATAGTAAAACTAATACCTTCTTAGCTTCGAGTCGAATTTGAAAAGAACAAGTCATATTGCCTAAAATATTGAGATAATACATTTTTATGCAAAAATAATTAGATTAAAAAAATACATTTTTTTTCAGGGAGTTCCTAAAATATTAAATTATATTGATAGGCTATTGTGGAAGTGGAGTGATAAAATGTTTAATACAAAACATGTTAGGGAACAAAAAAAGCCTTTATTGCTCGTATGATTGATGACTTTAAACTAGTAAGATAGGAATCACAAGACAACCTACTAGTGAATCTATTTTAATGACTAGTCAATTGTACTTTTTACCTTTTCCTTATCAACTACGCAACACAAAATCAAAAAAATACTTAAATCGTACTAATATTAACTATTTATGTTGAAAAAATAATTTTTTGACGAAGCTTATATTAATATGTGTTTGATTTACACATATTATTAATATAGATATATAAAAAAAATTAGATTAAAATTCACATATACAAAATTTAATGATAGGCGAGTTAGTACACTTATTGTACATGTATTAAACATAATATTATGTAAGTCAATAAATTTGATTAACTTCGTTATGTTAAAAGAAACTTGGAAAAAATTAACTTAATTTTTACATTGCTGCAATGAACTTGAAGTTAAAGTTAAAAACGTGTGTAGTTACATTAAAAGTTAAAACTCCCAAAGATGTTTCTAAACTTAATTACACTAACTTAACATTTAAAGTTTTTAACACGTTAATGCCCAGCTATGGTTAAGTTCAATTTCTTAAATTTTATATTATGAAAAAATCAAAAATAAAATTTCAATAAAATTAAATTCAGACTTCTGTTTTTTTAGTTACAAATTTATGAAGACTCTACTATAGCTTTAATCATAGACGATAACATTTTACAATACTTGATAAAGTTAATCAAAATTAAATATACATTTCTGTACCAAAAAGTACATCAGCCTAGCCATGATTACATACATTTCAATAGCATTAAAAGGTGAGTATATTTCATAATTTATGATGTGATTATTTCAACAGATAGTTTTTTTTTAACAGAAAGATTTTTAATAAATTAAAAATAATTATACTTAACATCTACTATCTCTTATCTAATATTTTTTTATATGATACATATGATTTAGATAACAACTAGCGGTAGCGGCATTACATGTTTTGTAAACATTGACATCATAAACACCAACACTACACTTTTTTTTAAAATAAATTTCATTTTAGTACTTAAAAACAACGTATGTTTAAACTATCATGTTTGACATCAATAAATGACAATTATACTATATTTTATAGATAATTACTATTTTTTGTAATTATACATTAAAATATGCTACCCAATTTTCATCCTGTTATTCAGACTGTTTTAGGGACTTTTTTTACATGGGGATTGACTGCTATTGGATCGAGTCTAATATTATTTTTTAGTGGTGCTCAAGTAAGAATTTTATATTACTTTGTTTTATTTCTAAAATTTTATAAATAAATAATAATACTCATTATTTGCAGAGAAAATTATTAGATGCCAGTTTAGGATTTTCAAGTGGTGTTATGATTGCTGCATCATATTGGTCATTATTGGCACCAGCCATTGAACTGGCTGAACAAAATCATGCTTATGGAAATAATGGAGAATTTGCTTTTATTCCAGCTTTAGTTGGTTTTATTTTTGGTGCTCTTTTTGTTTTCATATCTGATCTAGTGATATCATCTTATGAAATGGACGTTCTCAATATTCTTATGCCTGGTAAAATATTGTAAAAACTTAAAAGTTTATACTCTCGTCTTATATAAAATCTTATAAAGTTATCAGTTGATTCAATTGATTTTATAAAAAATGTATTTTAAAATTATTTTTATAATAGTTAATTTTTTTGATATTTTATTGAAATTCCTCATGATATAAATAGTTGAGTCATATTGAAATTATCTAATTGATAAAACATTATAAATAAAATGGCTAAGTATTTTCATAGAAAAATTAAAAATTAAATTAAAGAGTGTTAACTTAACTAATTATAAATTAAGTAATTTTAAAAATATTTCACTAATGGTAATTTGTACTTAATCAAAATTAATTATTTTTCTTTTAGAAGCAAAACAATGTAGCAAGTATAAGCTTAAATGTGATGACTTAGAAAAAGTTACTGATAGTAATACTGATAATGAAAAATTAAAGTCTTCGTCTTCTATTGAAGGTAAACATTTTTTAGCTTCTATGCATATCTGAGAAGCTATTTGTTTTCTGTTTTGTTATTTTTGTAGCACTATACACGATTACTCCACTCCTAAAATAATATGTCAAAAGATCACAAAATGTATCTAGTTTAAACTATCATTGACAGAATTCCCTTTAGTCATTGTAATAAAGAGAAATAATTTTAAAAAATAAAGGTTGTTATTATGAAACAGTTAATTTTCATATTATTAATTATCATATTTAATGAAAGAATTTTTTCTAATCTGGAGGAATTATTGCAAAATTTTTATTAATAATACTTAAGACATTTGTATTGCCAACAACATATTTTATAGGAAATCCAATCATTAACTGAAGTCTGTAAACATTTGAAAATTATATAAAATTCTTTAAAAATTTATTTAATTTTTATACAAATAGTCCAATTTATATTTTTAATTTCAAATTTATATTACTAACTTTTAGAAAAATGTATTGATCAATACAGATTTTTTTTATGAGCACTTTTAGCTTCGATGCGAAGCTGAGAAGATATTGGTTTTACTATGATGTGTTTTTTTTTTTATTTGATATACCTTATTTGAAAATTTGACTCTTTCCCTTTTATATGGAGAGTTTAAAAATTAAGTATACGTATAAAAAGTAGAACTATTTTTATTTGAATTTTAAAAATATTTTTAAAATCCAAAATATTTAAACATATCTTATTTTAAAGATCTTAAAATATACTTAATTTTGAAAAAGAAATTGACCTCTGGACATATTTTCTAAATTTAAATAATATAATAATATGTCTTTTAAATACATGTTAAATTAAAGGTTATTTTACACACATTAAAAAAAAAAAAAAATGCCCTGACAATTTATATATAAGGGGTCCCAAAGTTCAACCAATAATGTAATTTTTATCTAAAAAATCACTATTATTCTTGTTGTCATAAGTTCTTTATTTCTAGGTTCTAAGTTCTTTAAGTTTTTTACTTCCAGCTCATGTACAATCAAACGGTACTTAACTATTTTGTATTGAAGTTATGAACTTCTATTGTTTATAAAATATAAGAATACCTAAAAGAATAAATAATTTAAGACCAAAATTTAAAATTATCTTATTTTTAGTTCCTTTTGGTCATGTTATGAGGAGAAAGAATCGTGTAAGCTGTAAGAACAGTTATAGAAATGAATGTTGAAGGAAAAAGAGATACAGTAAGACCAAAAAAGAGATGGAGGGCTGCTGATGTGAGCGTAGATGATGTGGGAGATTGTGTCAAATGGAAGTTTAGGATAAAGATGGCCGACCCCTAGTAGTTGGTATTAAGGCGAGGAAGAAGAATATCTTATTTTTAATTCTTATAGGAAAGTAAAGTTTGCTATCAAAATTCTTATGTAATAAGTATTTCAATATTAAATTTTTTGAATGAAGTTAAGGAAGTGATAGGTGAAATTTTTCCTAAGGACAAGATAAAATTATACCACCTACAACCCAAATTTTTCTTCAATATTGTTATTTACCAAAATATTGATGAGAAAATAATAGGTCATCAAATTTTTTTTCTGGATTGCTATGGGAGAATAAAAATGGTGTATTTATAGTATTAAACATACATTGAGGCATTCTTTAGCTGAGTCAGCTATCTCTTTTTATATTTATTTTTACGGTCTTATAATTTTAAATTACAATAAAAAAAATTGGCATTTTTTTCAAATGAATGTATTATTTTTCTTAGAAATTCATTATTTATGTAAATTAAAAAAAAATTTAGATGTATTTCAAAGTTGTAGAATATAAAAAAGTAAAAATTAAAATTAGAGCATCTCAATTATAGAAAGTATTTATTATACACCGAAAAAGAAAAATTTTAAAAAAATGATTGATTTAACAGTACAAAGATTGTAAGTTTTTTTTTTTGGTATAGTTGAACAATAAGAGAAAATATTTTGTAATTTCTAACATTTTATTCTAAAATTGATTATTTATTAAATTATTAGTATTTTAAAATATAGACTAGAAGTGAAGCGCAGATGCTGTTATTTTTATCATTAGTCATTTCTTGGACGAACTCCTCCTCCCTCCTAAATACTAAAATGTATTAATCCAAAAATTGTTGTCGACGAGTCATTTTCTTTATTATTATTATCATTTTTTATTTTATAAGCTGGTTTAACACTCAATCTAACATTTAAAAAAAATAAAGTTGACACCCCTATAAGATATAAAGGATAGACCTAAATATTATTTTATAACAAATAAATATACACATGTAACTAATAAAATAAAAATAAAAAAAATTTAAATTACTTCCTGTAGTCAGAATTTACATAAATAATATAATATTGTAGAAATTACATTTCACTAAATAAATAATTATAAAAATAAAATAAATAACAACACTTAAAGGTATTTTTAATTTATACTTAACTCATATTGTGAGCATTTTAATAACTGTTATTTTATTATTAATATTAACTTGGTTTGTAAAATAAAAGGATAATTTTTTGTAAATACTTAATTAAAAAGAAAACAAATATTTTTAAAATGATGATCTACAGTAGCATTATTATTCAGCACCCATCCAATCATTCACTCACCTAAATTTTTTTTAGCTTTGAACAAGTGCCTATTTATTTAGAACTATGTTCACTACGCCGTTAGTTAAAATTTTATTCCAACAAAGAATATTATGTCGATTATCCTATCTTGAAAATACACTACTCTGAATCAAGTAGAAGTCAACCTATCACTAATATATACTGATTTTAATTAGTGTAAAAAAAATAATTTTAAAACAATCAATGAATAATGCAATAAAAAGAACATAGTAACTGTACTAATGTTATAAAAGCCATTATAAATTAAATGTTCTATTTAAGGCCAATTCTTAATAAATGTTTAATAAGTTATTATGTTTGTATTCGGACACAAAAAATTTAAATGCTTACTGTTATATCATGAATATTTTATATTAAATTTCAGTCTTAGACAAGTTACAGTCATAAAATATCTCTTATAATATAACATATTAATATTATCAGTACTTATCAACTAAGAATTTGTCACATATCGTTCAAGTTAAATTACTCTTAGTTGTTTTTAATATTTCTTATTATTTAAATAATAAAAAATTGATAGTTTTATCAATATATTTTTATTATTATTATTTATACTTTTATGTTAAATTTATATAGGGGTAACTCGACAGCGTTATTTAAAAAATAATGAATTGTCAACAGAAACAGAAACAAAATGCGATTTAGATGTAAAAATGTGTAGCTGGAAACGTATATTATTATTGGTTATAGCAATTACTGTTCATAATATTCCTGAAGGATTAGCTGTTGGTATAGCATTTGGTGCAGTAAATTCCTCCCCATCATCAACATTCAATAGCGCCAGGTAAAGATATTTTTAATTGAGTTATAGTTTAAAAATCTTTCCATGTATAGAAATTTATTAAATATTTTAATTCACACCTAATTAATCCTTTTTTCTTTATCATTATGGCTAGAGAGTGATTTTATATGCATTTATAGATTTTGTTAAGTTATTCCAAAGACATTATCAAATAAACATTTATATTAATAGGCTTCAAAATTTAGTACTGGATTTTAACTGGTATTATAGTATTGGAGGTATTAAAGGGATATATTCCTCCTAAAACAAAAAATATTTCTATGCAATTGTATATTCCAACAAAAACTTTTGCATAAACTTGAGTCCTTTTAAAATGACATAAACAAAATTTATAAATTACTTTCTATTTATAGAAAACCAAAAGTTACTTTTTGCCAACAATTTCTAACATAATTTCAATGAAAAAAATCTGCATATTCATGGTTAAGCATTAATAAATTATGTATTTTACCATCATTTTAAACATAATGAGAAAAAATTGTATGTAGGTATTAATTTTTGTAACATTTTATTCAAAATTTGACTTCATAAAGAAAATAATAAACAACAATCTACATTAAAACATCAACAAAAAATATATTTATGGGTTTCATTATCATCAGTTCTCTGGGAAATAAATCCCCAAAAAATAAAAATGTTATTAACTTATTCTTCATGGGTAAAATATTTTACTTAGTTGTTAAAACATACAAAGTAGTTTGAATCTGTTTAATAATAACAATATTTATATTTACTATGATAAATAACATGTGTTGACATAAATGTATATATATTTTTTTTAATAATTGATTAGTTTAAATGGTTATATTTAATATATAATACACTAATATTTTTGTTTAAATACATAAATAATAAATTGATTTTAATAAAGTTTGGTTAAAATTGAAAATGTATTTTTATAGTCGCGCTATTATTAAGTATTATTTATATTAACTATTATAAGATAACAAACAAAAGCAGATGCTTGTTAAATGAGTGAATAATTCCTTCAGAATAAAAATTGTAACATATTAATTTTTATTTAGAGGACTAGAGAAAAAATTTGATATGTATATAAAACAAAAGCTTAACTGTACTATTGTAGTTATTACTACAACAGTAGTAATTTTGATCTAATCTCCTTTGAAGAAAATATAAAAATATTTTAACTATTAAAAAAATAAGAAAATAGTTAGGTTTTAAAGATTCAGTCTATTCATAGATTCCCTGAAAATTTTTTTACGATAAGTTTTTTTTAAATGGTTAAGTTTATTTATTTTTAATTAAAAAAAACGGTTTTGTCAACAGCTATTTACAAAAACAATAACCTTATACCGAAATGAAATTTAAGTAAAATTCGGTTTTTATCGTTTTTTTTTTGTAATGCTTTCAAGTATAAATTTAGAGTAAATGAAATTATAGTGAATCGCTCTTCAGTGGCGTATTTACAGGGGACACAGGAGCAATGTTAATAATTTATCAAACAATGTAATAAAATTCAAAACATGTTCAATTTTTTTTTGGTTATGCATAATAACAACACGTGTTTGTAAATGTTGGTTGATATGAAAAATCATTTCAAATGATTAATTTTATAAATCATCTAAGGTTTATATAATTCTCGTGGATTAAAATTCAACGCCTTGTAAGGTGTCCCAGAAACGTTATCTCATATTACTAATAAATACATTGAATTTAACCTTATCAATGTTTAATTATATGCCTGTTATATAGTAAAAAAAATAAAAAAAAAAATCAAAACTAAACTAAAAATAACAAATTTTTGTTCAAAAAAGTTTATTAAAGTACTATTTTGTTGAAAATAATAATTTTTCAATACATATTTTGTGTATTTTTGTGTTTCTTTTTTCGATTTTTATGTAGCGATCTTAACCAAAAAAAATTATGAATGATAAAAAAAATAGGTCATCTATATTTTATTGTACCTTATCTCAAAAAAAAAATGTGTTTTGTCCTTCCGTTGTAATTTTTTAAATACACCATTGCTAAATTAAAAAAATAATACCAATATTATATTATTAACCAGTAGATGACGCTAACTAAATCGATGTAATACAAATTTAAAATGCAGCAGAAGAAAATTAATTTTTTTCCTTATTAAATCTTGAAAGTTTAATAATAATTTAATATGTGTAATTGTCTAATTAAACAGTTCTGGTTTTTAGAATTATTAAAAGAATAAATTATCATTTTGTTAAATTTTTTAACAAAACAAAAATACCTTAATATATATATATATATTTAATTACTAAATTATGTTTAAAATGTATTCTACAATCTACAAAAAATTGGAATTATTAATCTGTCACATTCAATCGTATCATTTATAAATTAGAAAAACGTTTTTCCAAGTATTCTAAAAAAAATGTTAATTTTTATGTATATTCTGTTAAATTATAAATCATTGACTCTTGAAAAATGCAAGATTTATAAGTTATAGTAACCCATATACTGGTGGTAATGTTTTGAAGTACTCTTTTATGTTTTTTAAGTATCTTTTTGGATTATTTTTTTAGCAAATTCTAAAACGTAAAGCATTAAATTTGAACTTGTAAATTGTGTTGTACATTATAGAACATGGTCAAAATATTTGACATTAAAATATTGGACATAATATGGTCCAATTTCATTTTTAGATAATAAAAATTTATGCTTATCAATGTATCCTTGCTTTATAAGTAGAGCAATTTTTTAATATTTATAAATTATATATTCTTATTCTTAACTATTAGCAGGATAAAAAAATATTTTTTTGAATATTATTATTATTTTTTATATATCAGTTAAGTGTATCAGGGAAATATAAAGTAATATAAATTTTAATTTGGTATAACTAAAATTTTACTAGAAATTTTAGTATATTTTCGTTATAAATTTTTCATATTATAAAAAATATGAAATAGTCATTAGTGACATTTTACACATGATAATTTGCTTACAATATTTATTTAGAAACATTTTTGTAGTGTTCAATTTAGTATTTCTAAACTAATTTTCTCAACTATAGAAATACAATAGTTTACAAATTTGTAACATAATATTTTTATTTGAATTTTTTTGAGTTAGTTAATAAGTTATTGCTTTTGTGTAAAAATTGTAATTCTGTGTTAGTTAGTTTACAATTTTTGAAATATATTAATTATTGATGATAGAATTTTTCAATTTTATTAATGACATAGTATACAATCAACTAATTATAAATATGCATGACATCAATTAAATATGTACATTTTAAATAGTACAATTATATATATCCTAATATTGTAGGAATATTCCATAACGTGTTTATAAGTTAAATCAGATTTATCAATTTAAAATAATAATAAAGTGAATAGTCACTTATTGTAAACTTAATAATTCATCAATTAAATTAAATTAATTACATCTTAAGTTGTTTTGTAAACGTAAGGTTGATATAAATTATTTTGTTAAAATATTAATAACAAAAGTCATTGTTTACTTATCGTTTTAACTTTTTTACTCGAATGATTTTTACATAGTATTACGGTTTGTTGAATTTTGGATGTAGTGTTGATTTTAAAGGTTTATAAAGGATCCTTCTATTAAAATGTATAACATAATTATTTTTGTTATACAGCATTTTTTGAAGATTTACGATGGTTGAAAAGGGGGAATGTAACTCATATCGTCGAAGGAACATGCGGGTGGTCTATTCGCGGTAAAAGGGATATTTCATGACCCTTGACGTTTAATCTTGTCCAATAAAATTGTTAGAAAAACAATCCAAAATACCAAATATGGAGCTCGCCCTAAAGTTGTTCTCACACTATAATCATAGTACACTATATCTCGTGTTGTATACAGTAATATAATTTAATGATTACGAAAATAAAAACAATCGTGACTGCGTAGTTGTTCCATGAAATTTTCTTAAAAAAATTTTTACAACCACTACGCAATCAATATTTTTTTAATATACATAATCAAAATTGTACAATACTCTGTCCAGTAAACGTTATTAACTAGTTAATTTCGTACCGTATGTTTTAAGAACATTTGAACCACAGTGTAATTTATTATTTTTGGTCTGCGCATACTTTTAAGAAAGTAATCGCTTAAACAGTGAGTTAAGTATTCTAAGGAGTGTCGCCGTTATCATTGAACACAGTCTTGGGGGGCTCGGTAAATTATCTTAAACGTTCATTCCAAATTCTTTTAATTATTGCGTTATAATATTTTAAACAAAAACACTTTTCCACTCACTTCATTACTTGTTGTCAAGTTCTTCTAGAGCCGAAACGGATTTGTGTATTTTGCTTTTAGGTTTACCTTATGATGATTCGATACATTCAAACACGTGTAGTGTATGTTTTGAAGCCAAAAGCATTTTTTTCATTATACGTGTGTGATTGTCTAAAACATTAAAAAGGCAAAACAGGTTTATTGGCGTTTTGTCAGAGCGCCAGCAGGTGCACCTATCCGTCGCATATAACTCCCCTTCCTTCGTTAAATGTAACCCTCTCTACCCTACAACAACGACAACAGCTCGTTCCACTATCGACCATTATGTGCGTTTTTGTGTACATACATATACATATAAATTTGTATTTATGTATATAAATAGTATACATATATGTATGTATGAGTGTATATTTATATCTACATATATATTTGAGTGTGTATGTATTTAACTATGTCTGGAATGCTGGTTCATACCTCATTTCATCACGTTTTTGACCACCATTTTCTTTCTTTTATTAACTGCCGCGCACTGTTTCCTTTTGTCTGTTCTGCTTTCTCCAAATCGTATACAGTATAATAGGTGTATATATGTATATAAACATTTATATTATATAAATGAATAATTAATATAGATGATACGCCATGATGCTGGAACGTTCAACGTTATCAAGTCGAAACTATTTTACTGGTTTTTTAAGCTGTTTAGAGAGTACCTGCAAGATACTAGGTATATTTTCCGTTATTTTCAGAATCCGGATGTTTTGCCATTTAGGTTTACG